ACTACATACTATCTGCATGACAATAAAGCATAGAGGCTGCAATTGAGATCAGAGCATTACGCATTTGGGCCTCTACAATACACACACTAAAAGACAGCCACTGTTCTGAAAAGATTACAATCTAATATAGGAGAACTATTCATGTGAATGAAATAGGGTTTGAAATCCTAGTCACTAAAGTGATTTGATTTTCAATTCGATGAGTTTTATCTAATCATTTGGAAGAAAAGGAATGGATCAATGGTACTATGCTTGACTAAGATCTAGAAAAAGACATAAAAGAGTTGCATTCCTATTTTAGTTTTTAGCTACAGTTTTTACTCTAGGTATATCATACTGTATTATAAAATATTTACTACAATTGGCAGAAATGCAGTTCATCATCACATAATTAAAAGAATAACCCCTGAAAAGTAAATAAACAACTTTTGACTAGAAACTGATCAGTCACGTCACTTTTTGGAAATTTTCAGAGGATAAAAAGCTTGGGTTTGAATCCTCACAGATCAAAAATCAGGGAAAATCAGAATGCTACTTCTGCTGAACTCCAAGACTAATGCCCCATCACTAATTCTGGAGCCAGAGCTCAGCCTCAGAGCAGTGCAAACGACCAACCAGAGATGAACGCAGCAGAGAGATCTTTGTTAATTTACATACTAGGGTTGACACTGAGGAAGTGCAACAGTTTCCATCAACTACAAATGTTTTTATACTTCCCACTAAAATGAAGCTATTCCAATTTTAACAACTTCAGCCTTCACTGGCTTTTCTTCAAAGACAAAGAAACCAATTAAATAAAAACTCTTCTCCTTTTCCAGTCTGACAAAATTTTTATAGAAAACCACTGTCTCCTTTTTGCCAGCTCATTGGACACAGTCTCTCATAGTATCCTTACAGACAAACTGGTGACATTTGGACTGGATAAGGGGTCAATAAGGTAGGTGGAAATGTGGCTCAGTGGTCAGGCTCAAAAGGTTGTGATCAATGGTACAAAATCTAACAGGTGGCTGGCTATCAGCCGCATCCCTCCAGAACTGACTGGGGCCAATACTGTTTAATATCTTTATTAATGACTTGGGCAACAGGATGGAGTACTCTAACAACTACAGTAACTAACAGAGACAATAATAAATTGGGGGGGGACAGTGGAAATGCTGAATGGCAGTGCTGTTATTTAGAGAGACCTTGACAGGCTGGATAAACAAGATGACAAGAACCTCATAAAGTTCAGCAATGGCAAATGTGAAGTCCTGCACATGGAACCTAAAAATCCCACGCAGCAGTACAGGCTGGGGGCTAACCAGCCGGAAAACGGCTTTGCAAGAAAGGACCCAGAGGTCCTCATGGACAAGCTGACCATGAGTCAGCAGTGTTAGAATAACATGATCCATGACAGATGAGATTTGGGACTTTGAACCAGAAACTCAGATATAGGCAACAACTTTTGATGCTGCCTTAACGCTCAAACAAAAGAGATTAATTTAAATGTAGACCAGCTTAGGTTTCAGCCTAATTTGTGGGGATTATATAATAGGAATCACCAGTAGTGACCAAAGTGTGATCACTGATCACACTGATCTAATGACTGAGAGGTCATTATACTTCCCTGAACATGTAGGAAATGTTAACCTGTGTATCTGAAACCACTGCATGGCAACTGTTGTTATGAGTTGATTTTTCAGTGGTAAGCAATGTAATGATTCATAAAACATATTTTTCCTCTCACTAGCACAGGTCTCTCCATTAGAACTGATAAACAGATTCACGTGTATTATCCAGCTGTGTTTACATTATTATTTTACCATGTCTATAATTACTCACCAGTTACATCTCTTACAATTTCTCTTTCATAACCCTTTGTCCTGGTATTTTGATAATAACTATCAGAGGTGATAACACCTTAATTTTTCACTGTATTCATTTCTGTATATACAAGTATCTTGTAGCCATCTTCTTCTCCTCATTTAAATAATTCTACATTAAATTATACTTCATTGAAGTTACCAGAGGTATAACTCATGACCAAATTTGCCCAATTCTCTTCCTCAGCACTTTCAAATTTATTTATTTGTATTACATTTATGTAAATACTATTAGCCAGTTGCACTTTTAAAATATTCAGGGAAGACAATGTCTTTTCTACTGCTTTGGAAAAAAAATAGTGCCTTTTGCTTATCTCTTCTAAGCATTGAAACTATTTCCTCAAATATAACTACTTCAATAGCAAGAATGGCTATAATTTTTTGGAAAAATCATAAAAAATAGGGTTGGAAGGAATCTAAATGGCCATTTAGTCCATTCCCCTGCCCCAGGGCACTATCAGCTACACTTACACCATTCTCAGGCAGGTATTTGTCTAACCTGTTCTTAAAAACCACTCGTGATGGAAATTCCAAGGTCCTCTCAGGTCATCTATACGAGTGCTTCACCATCCCTGCAAAAAGAATTTTTCTTCCTAATGTCTCATCTTGTCTTGTTCCCAGTGAACATGGAGGACGGTTTAGTTCCTTCTTCTTTGCAGGAACTGTTCAACCCCATGTAGGATTATGGGATTAGCCCTACGGAAAGACTGAGTTTCTCTACACCACAAGGTAAAAAGGTTAACTCACTAAAGTAGTCTATCTTTAATATATCTGTTAATAAATACATTAACATATTCACAAAACACTGTTCACATAAGAGGAACTGTTGCCATAAGAGGAACAGAAAAAAATGTCAAGTGTTTCATTTTACGGCGCCCCTCAAAAGTCATTGAGAAGTCCCTTAAATTCTGTTTATCTCAGAACTTATAAATGATCTGGGAAGCAAGACTGAGCAAAAATTTTTCCTTGGCTGCTGCTCATTTCTCAATGTTTCATCAAAAACTCTTGTAGAAAGAAGTCTCCTCCTAGAGTGTAAATACCTTAGGGAAGTCAGAGCATCATCTATTTACCTGTGCACCTGCAAAGGAAAATGAAAATGTCTGTAGCCCCACCTTTCAAGAACCTTGTGAAACAATCTGGGAACTGAGCCAAAATCTACTCTCTCACTATATAAGACTCGAGAGCAGACAGGTATTTTCTCAGAGGCAGGTTGTTCGGTAGTTCCTACCGAACTTCCCAGAAGATGGGCACAGGTGGTGGGACACGAATACCACTATGGATATCAATACTAGCACTTGCCTTCACACAGATCAAAGGTAGGAGGATTTACTTGTTTTGCATTTTTACTGTTCCAAAGAATTTATAATCTGTTCAGAGTTTGAAACGATTTTCTTGGCTTTGTGAAGCTAAAGAAGATTTTACCTTTATACTAGATTTTTTTTTCTGTTACAAATACTTTCCTTCATAAGAAGACAAAAGTAACTGTCTTCAAAGTTCATATTCTAGTCCAAGTTCTTACCTTATTTTCTCTAGCTGAAATTTGGAATAGCTTCAACGGAGCTAACTCATGTTTCTACTGAAGTACCTCGGAGGGTCATTTAGCCTTTGATGTCCACTTCATGAGGCAGAACATATGCAAATGCACAAACCAAAAGCTGTAAAAACGGCTTTAGAAAGGAACAAATTAGTGGAGTGCTTCTGCATCATTAAAGATTTGGTTTGTTCTATCAGCTGATGCTACAGTACTGAAAAAAGGGACTGATCTTGCTTTAAAAATGTTGGACACCAAATTTAAGATGTTCATTTGTTCTTGCACACAAGATTGTACAAAAGCTTAGAGCATAGAGGTTTTTTTTTGAAGAAGTGAAACCAACTGGATTTCTGTGAAATTGGGATTCATAGTGTCTTAAATACTTGGTATTCATGGTGCCCTAATTATTCTACAAAGGCACTTAATACTCACAGCCAGGTGGAAACTTTTTTTTATTAATACTACACCTATTAATTTCCCCTGAGGTTTAAGGTAATAATAATGCTAGTTTTGAGCACATTTGGATCTCAGACACAGATCCTGGTGAGTCATTTTACTTCTTCCTACTCCCAGGGAATTCCACACTAACTTACATTAAAAGTAGTTCCTTTAAAGAACAGCCCATGGAGAGGCTAACCATAACATTACCATGCCACGCAAAGGAAATAGGCATCTGGGATGTGTGTGGCATGAGGCAGAGCGTTGGCACTGGACAGCGCATGGGACAACAGGCAAAAAGCTCTCTGGGGCTAGGAAGTTAAGGAAGGGAGCCCAGAAGCACGGACTGGTTTTGCCTCTCTAAAAGGGACACAATGTGTCCTTCCAATGCTAGCTGGAAACACCCAACTGGTGTAACAGGGAAGGAGGCACTATGGATCCTACTGCAGCTCTGATTTCAGCGTTAGCCCCTCTAGCGGTGTTACCCGTGGACTGCCCTGTTGCGGGACACACCAGAGTTTCTGCCTGCCTTTTTTGTTTTCCCTGGCCGGCCAGCCAGCATACCTTCCCCTGCAATCGGCCCTCTGCTCAATCAGCTTGTGTTCAGTAAGGCATCGGAAGCTGCTCCAGGCCCTGCAAATTTCCTGTGACTTCCTATTTTGAAGCTGACCTGGAATGGAATACAAAATGGTTTCATCACTGGAAGCAAAAAATTTTGCTTTGCGGCAAAATCAACAATAACAGACATATCTACTGGAAAGGCCTAGTTCTTTCTGTCTGGTTTGTAGGTTCATTTTATTTCTGCCACTTATTAAAAAAAGTGCTTGAAACTGTAAAATACAGAGTAACTTTGGCTTTCAGTAAGAGAAGACAGAGATCATCCCTCTACCTCTAAAAGAGATTCTTCCAGTAAAAAAGGGACCTATTTTTAAAGCTCTCTAGATAGGCAAAGGGTTTTACCAGTGATTAAAGCACATAATGATCATAAAAACAGAGAGTGAAATGAAGTCCTTTATCTGAAAAGCTCATAAGGGCATCCAGGGGTACTGTGAGAGTAACAGAACAAGGATCTGCCCAAATTCTCACCTATGTGCTTTTGATGGCTTCAGTATAATTATTTATTAGCCTAAAGAAAAAAATAGCTCAGGGAGTGATATATGGCCATCATGATGGCGTGTAATACAGATCTTGATGTAAATCTGATCTCCTGCACATCAGGGTAGATTTGCTGATTTTTAAAATATTCGTTACGTGTTTAAGCAGATATAACTGAAAAATGATGAATGTACTCCTGCAAATTAAACACTAATATTTTCTTCCTCCGCTCTTCTTGGTGCAGTTCAAGCCCAGGGCAGTGAACGAAACTATGTTTCTCCGTCTATCCAGCAGCGACAAGACTGTAAGTGTTTTTATGCTGATCTACTTCTAATATTTTGTCCAAAAATTAAATTGATAAATAAGAAGATTACCAGAATGGGCCTAGGACGGCTAGAACATGGTGTGACAGAGACAGAGAGACACAGAGATCTCTGACTGCTACAAACTGGAGAAGTTCCTCTGAGACCTGGTGCAATGATTTGGTCTACTGATGAGATACAGTTATCTAATCTTTAGTTTCATGAAAGGTACATACCATCTATCTGAAAGTGTATTTTCAGAAGGGGTGTGTGCATACATACATATCACAAATGTAGCTGATAGTAGGAAATAAAAGCTACATGTTTTATGCTGTGTCGAGACGTCACTCACAAGAGAAAATAAGAAAACCGTAACTGCCTTAAACATTAGAATGATTAAGCGCTACATGATCATGTATAAAAATAGCATTATGGCACATACTGGAACACAGTAACTGTACACAGCAAAATAAGGGGAAAGGATACGACACCAACTGGTGTAATGCTGATTACAGGCCAAAACCAGTGTTGCATAGAAATTCTGACACATTTTCCTAGTTCTTACTATAAATACATCATAATACTATTTACCATATTGGCATGAAATTTAATCATTCTGCCTGCTGCATTCTGCAATTTGTGAAGTCAATAGCTGGCAATTAAAATAGTGATAAACCTCAACTGGAAGTATTACACGAATTGTGTAGTAATAGTGAGTTCAGTTAATCATTGCGACAGACTGTCAAGTATATGTGCTTTCCCTAAAAATCTTTATATGAAAACTAAATTAGATTGTCTCTCTAAACTACATATCTGTCTTAGGCATCCTTTCTGGTCTAAACAGAAAGCTCAATGGCTGATCTTGCAGTCTACAGTATGGAAGTCATCAGACTCTATGATTATGATACTTTCAAGGGGGAAACTGCAGCAATTTCTCAAACTCTCATTTGAGAAAATACAGTCTGGATTCTCTAAGTGTCATACCCCTTTCATAGCTGGAACTGAAGAGAAAACAATAGATTTGGACATGGAAAATTTAGGGCTGGATCCTGCAAACAGAAGTCCTTCCATGAAAAAGCACATTAGTAAAGTTTTACAGAATTTAAAGTGCTATTTTTTTTTTTAATCTGCTTGCATTTGGTGTGTAAAAGTGCATGTTTCCTTCAGCACGGAGAAAGATATGAGCTTCAGAAAAAATTAGCTGGTATTTCTCATCCTACCGCTAAGACTCTTCAGCAGTTTTCAGCTTCCAAGTGTATCAAGAGTCCAAGGTCCAAATGTAGCCATTGACGCTGCTTTTTCTGCATTACTATTACAACACTGAACTCTCAGGATCAGATTGTTGCATTTGAGCTCAGATTGGCAGGGCCAGCATCAGATGGGAATCTCGAACAAATACTGGAAGAACTACAGCCATACAGAATGCTCTTGGGGATCTGGCTGTTAGTGAAACACACAGGAAGACAGAGCACAAAGCACTGTGCTAAACCATCAACAAAATGTCATGGAAACTCCACCTAGGGTGTATCTAGTAGTAGGAAATGTTAATTGTTGAAAGAAACTAGGCAATTTCTATTGTTTTTTAACACTTCAAAAAAACTCATCCTTTTCCTCCTTAGATTTTAGAACAGCCAGTACCAAATCAAAAGGAGTGACAATCATTCCACCTCTTCGAAACACACTGGCAGTAAAGCGTAAGTTAAACAAATTTCATGGCTCAGATATCTGTGTTTTGTGGATCATAGAGCCCAGAGTGACTGAACAGATTAATAAGTTGTGTAAGATCCTTTAGCCTTATAAAATAAAAAATGCAAGAGAAGTATGCAGTTCATTAAGTAATGAGCCCAACCTACATGTGGCCCAAAGCTCAGCTTGTATTTCGTTAATATGATGCAGCCATAAAAAGGACAAGCATAATACTGGGATATATCATGCACACTATTTTCAGTAAAAGAGGGTATTTTTAACATGTTCAAAACATTGGTGAGACACCTCATCTAGGATATAGGGTACAATTCTGATTACCATTGTTCAGGCAGGGTGAGTGGAAATCTGGAAGAGAGGCAGAGAGGAACAGTGAAGATGATCAAGGAGATAGGAGCTTGCAGTAAAATGGAGGCTGAGAAGAAGTAAATGCTTTCTATAATAGAGGGGGAGAACCAGGAGGTGGAACTCCTTTAGGGTAACGGGTAGTCCTGGCACAAGAAGAGGCAGGCATACACTAGTCCGAAATCCGTTTCCAAAGAAATTGGCAAAGGTCTTCCAGCTATTAGAAGAGTGGGGTAATGAGTGGCCTTCCCCAGAAGGAGTACTAGCTAGTTTTAAACTAACTTTAAAATGAACTGGCTTTAAAAAAAGGTGAAACTTCAGACTTCATACATTTAGAAAAGGGTTTATAGAATATAGCTATCAGCAGAAACAGAACAGCGGACTTACTTAGTGACCCAGGAGGTCTCTTCCAGTCTTATTCCCTATATCCTCATGCAAAAAGATGATTAAACGCAAAAGATAATCTAAATAAATAATAGCTAACTAAATAAATAGCTTTACAAGAAGGCAAATGAAAGATGGAGGCCTTTTGGCTAGTGAAAGAAATAAAAGGGGAGAAACCATTTAAAAAGAAGGTAACCACTGCAAATTACAGAAAATTCTTACAGCTCATTTTGAATCCACAGCTGGCAACCCCTCTCACAATGGCCAAGTGTGTAGCACATGGGGTAACTTCCATTTCAAGACCTTTGACGGGGACATCTTTTACTTCCCTGGGCTCTGCAATTACGTCTTTGCATCCAACTGCAAGTCCTCCTATGAGGACTTCAACATCCAGATAAGGCGTACAATGGTGGAAAATGCTACCGTGATCACCCATGTCATCATGAAGCTGGAGGGAGCAGTGATTGAACTGACACGCAGAGCTGTCCTGGTTACTGGCAAGCCGTACGTTCATACCTTCTACTATGCCCTGAAACTGCCATTGCTGCTGTTGCTCCCAGTAGGCTCTTTGAGGGAGCATCCCTTTCCCTCATGTGATCTCAGACTACTCCCAAGCAGCTGGAGGGCACAGGTCCTTCTTGAAGAGGCAAGAGAAATAAGACAGCCTGACAGTGAGCTAAGTGCCACCTCTGTGCATTACCCTTGTGTCTATTTTGTGCAGATGAGCTACATCCCAGTTGCTGCCCCATTGCTACAATTTAGATGTGTAACCTGAATTCAGCCAAAGTATTAAACTCTTATACCCTTTAAGTTTCTACTCTTCCATTGCTTTTACCAGAATAGGAGCCCTGAGAGGAATTTCTGGTGGCTTTTGTCCTTTTGGTGAATAATGTGCAGTTAAGCAGTGACTGCAGCTTGCACCAATATACCTGAACTAGCTTTAAATTAGTTAGCTTGGAAACTTCCTATTTATGTGGCAGTGGTAGCACTAACTTTGGCATGGGGTATGAAAACTCTCCAAAAGCCTGGGTAAATATTTGGGCAGCTATCCCACAGTGATCTGTGTACTACAGCAGCTATGCACAGCAAGCTAGTCCAAAGGTTATCTTGGGTACATCTTGTGAATGGCAGTCATGTCACATAAAGCCTAAAGAGTCTATCTCTTTATCATAAAGGGCTTTAAGGAGTAAATAGCAATATCCTGACGCATACTGCCTGCAATCAGGACCTCCCAGGACTTCTCTGAACAATGTAACCTAAGACTCAAGCCAACGTTTTACCTACCAAAACACCATTCACGGAGATAGTCAAAAGGAACAGCTGTGAAAATACGGCTGATCCATTTGTGCACTGAGAAGCAATTCCACAGAAAACAGTCAAAATGCTACAAACTTGTGTTGTCCTTATTTAGTTACTGCTATTACTGATTTCTTTACTTACTCATTTTAAAATGTCTCAAAGAGAATGAGAATGGATATCAGTGTGGATATTTAATGGCTATTCTACCCCTTCCCCCACTAAATTACTGTGATTTTTCCCCAGGATTCAGCTGCCCTACAGCCAGATGGGAATCTTGATAGAGAGAAGTAACAGCTACTTGAAAGTTACTGCCAAGTTAGGACTGGTCTTCCTTTGGAATGAAGAGGATGCCCTCCTGGTAAGAAAACATACAAAATATAGCAGAAAACCTGCATTTTGAAAATACTCTATATACATCTTTCCAATCTTAATCACTTAGGCAGGCTTTAATTAAATTTGAATTTGTATCCATTTTTAGTGTATTGTGCTCTCCTCCTGCTCTCTCCCAATTTTCTTTTCCTCCCACCCCAGATCAGCTCAGAGTCAGTATCTCCACAATTATAAGGTCCTCACAACACAGTGAAGTACTTTTCAGATTCCAGACACAGCGACACTCTGATGATCACAGATAGAGTAAGACCAAGTTTTTCTTGGTGCTCACTGACATTCATATTGGTGCCTAACTTGTTACCACACCACACAGTTTGCATAGCGCACACACGTTAGACTTTGAGTATGTAAGTGATATTGATATAGATTGTTCCTAAATGTCAAGGTTAACATTACTTTGAATCTAAACTCACTTTCCTCATTTATTTTAGGTGGAACTAGATAAGAAATATGCCAATCAGACTTGCGGGCTTTGTGGGGACTTCAATGGAATACCAATTAACAATGAATTTATTTCACAGAGTAAGTAATAAAAAATCTTATTAAATATTGGTGCTTTGTTTTTCTTTCTTTTAGCAGTATCCTGTGACATGGATTGAGAGTCATATTAACTGCAAAGTAGTGATAATTTTGGCATGTATTTTCATGATGTCAGTTTTAATACTTATGTAATAGAGACAGAGATCTGAGATGCATTAGGCTGTTTCCATAACCGTTAGATCTTTTTAAAACTTGCCACATGTAATATTCTATTTTTTCCAGTATTTAGGCTCCAGTCACTTACCTTCTTCATCTCCCTTTGGCATTCATATTATAGTGATAATATCTGGTAATCACTATTGATGTCACGACTGGTAGTGTCACAGAAAGAATGTCTCCATGCAAAAGCCAGTAAACCAGTAGATATTCTCCTGATATTTTCCCTGCTTTTTACAGATACAAAACTGACTCCCCTGCAGTTTGGGAATAGGCAGAAGATGGATGGACCTACAGAACAGTGTGATGACCCTATTCCTGCTGCTGTTCTGGGGAATTGCACAGCTGAATTTGTAAGAATTTCTTTATCAGAGCTTGTTTTTCCTCATACATGCTCCCTTTCTTTCAGTTTGAAAACAAGTAGTTAGGACTGGAAAAAATACAGCAGGTACATGCCCCCAGCTGTGGATCTGGAAAAAAAATGTTTCCAAATTTAATTTTTAACTCTTTGCCAAGGTGAATGCTAAATATTTATACGAGTTAAGGGGAGAGTGGGCATTTTCATGAAAAGAGAAATTCACAAAGAAGTTCCATATATGCAGAAACTGTATAATGCTTAGGAAGTCACCTGAGCTGAAAGTAGCTGAAAATAGGGAAATTCATCAAGTGAACACATCACAATTTCATGTATACTTGCCCCATTATATTTTTCCCCCTAAATATCTGCTCATGTTTACTGTTGGAGAGGATTCTGAGCCAGATGGACGTTTGGTCTGCTCTGGTACGCTCCTTAAATAAAATAATTTCATTTTTTCTAAACACTGTTGTTTTATCATCTTCTCTCTTTTCCCTCCTAGGGTTCTATCTGTCAGATAGTATTAACCAGTGAAGCATTCAGAAGCTGTAATGTACTTGTGGATGTTCGGGACTACATTGAAACTTGCATACAAGACCTATGCCACTGTGATAACTCTATGGCTGACTTCTGTATGTGCAACACCTTTGCTGAATACTCCCGGCAGTGCGCTCATGCAGGTGGACAGCCTCTGAACTGGAGGACTTCTGAACTGTGTCGTAAGTATCTCTGGAAGAGGCTTTCACCTATGCTCATTACCCATATGCAATAAACTCCAATTATGTGAAACTTACCCTGAAGTAGACAGACATTTAAAGGCCCATGTAAATTCATGACATCAGTTTTACCCTGAGCATACTCAAGACTTTTGGGGTATATAGGTTTAGAGGATTTTGCTTTACTAAGGGGCTTCAATATATAGCCGGAGCTCTAATATGTTACAGATATTAATGTCTTCACTTGGATCAGGATTCCCCATTACATTTCAACAGAAAGCATCCTAGATTGTAAAGACTGTTTTCTCAGTGTTCCAAAGGAAAAGTAAGCATTACGCTCTTCTTTTTACTTTCAGCCAAATCATGTCCTTTCAACATGCAATACCAGGAATGCGGCTCTCCCTGTTCTGACACCTGCACCAATCCCGAACGATCTGCACTTTGTGAAGATCACTGTATGGATGGCTGCATCTGTCCTCCAGGCAAGTTTATTTCCTACACTTTTCTCATGTCAAACTGCTAGAACACTTACTGGTACACATTTAGCAACTTTCCTACTCTCTATCATGTGCATCACAGTCACAGTAACAGCCATGTTCTTTCCTTGATACACATGCACAATTTCAACCCAGGTCACTAAAAAACCCTTTCAAATAATAAACATGTGCCTAGGACATGCACATAATGTCTGAAATGGGTACAAGATACTTCAGTACTAATAATATGGGGAAGCTTTCTGTTCTCAACATCCACTGTCAGTTTAGAGAAAGTACATAATAGGTGATCACATTCTGCCAACAATGGTAATGCCTGGTGTTAGCAAAGCTGGGCTTGGCTCCTCAAGGTACGATATATTTCCTACTCAGTGCAGTGTGTCACCTCCTCTTTCTAAATAAGGAGCTGAGAGACCGCTAGGCAGTTTATAGAATTTGGCTCTTCAGAGAATTACACACAAAAACCGAATGTCAGGATGTGATGAATAATACAAGCGTGCTGTCCTCATACATGCTTAGTTCTGGTGCTGACAACTGCTCTTGTGAGTGACTGTGCTGCATGATGTTCTCCTATTGCTGATCTGCCCATCCTCCATGAGGTCTCACAAAACTATCACTTGTTTGTATAATCTCATTCTCTTCCTTTAGGTAATGCTCTGCCTTAGGGTGCAAAAACATTGATTCTATGAATACGTCCCCAGGTAGCCTTATAAATAGTTAATCTATTCCATTTTGCTATCTTGTCATCTAGTAATTCCAGTCCTAATTCCAATCTAACGAAGGTCATAATAGAAGAGTATTTCTCTCCTGATCCCCTATGATCACCTTAAGATTTTAGTTGGCTTTCAACTGAATATTGCCCTTTCAAGCTCTACACAGCTGACATGCCATTATTTCAAGGCTCTGATTCTTCATTTTCCTTATAATACAGAAGAAATGCAGCATGCTTTCAGTATCTCTAACGTGTACACCAAAGCAGGTTCTGCAGTGCACATCAGAATGAGTAACAGATCATTTTTTTCTCAGGAATGGTATTTGATGACATTAATGGTGCTGGCTGTATTCCCCGTAAAGAATGCCACTGTACCTATGAAGGTGAAATTTATGCTCCTGGTGCCTCCTTCTCATCCAAGTGCAGATCATGGTAACATACTCCCTTTCTCATACTTCTTTAGATGCATTACCTGAATATATTGAAGAGACGGAAAAATTACCAATTACTCCTTGAAAAGAAATTAGGAACTACCTGTCAACTGAAGTTCTTTGATTAAACATTTTTTAAAAGAAACTTAAATCCTTTTTTCCTCTTCATGCATGAAAACAAAAATTTGAGCTTAGATATGGGCACTCCCATTTCAAGACCAGTCACCTAAAGCAGACAATCAAATTCAAAGACTGGAGGCTTAAATCAGCATTTACAAATGTAGATTGCTGTGTCACGTGCTTAAATGCCTTCGCAACTCTACAGCGGAAATACTATTGGGGGCAAAACGCTTAGGGACATGTTGCATTATATGGATTGGGAGATCATGTTTCAGGGACATTTGACAGACATGGTATATATTTTTCAATTTCATTATAGTTACTGAAGTATTATTCTGCAAGGGTATGCAAGTGCATCTATCCATCTGCGAATACAAGAACCAAAAACACACATGTTACTTTCCAAGAAATGCTTAACACATTTGAAGCTTGAGTCATGCTAATGGAGATGAAGGCACATCCTTTATATGCAGCAGAACGGATACCAGGCTCACTAGGACTGAATTCTGTCCAAAGAAGGATTGGCAATCAATGGCATAATATAAAAAAATTATCAGTGATATAAATGTGTCTTTCTGTACTTATTCTGAGATTTCAAAGCAACGTTGATTATTTGTAACCATTCTTGTCTCTAAAAGACAGTATGATCAATACTTCAAGAGGAAAATGAAGGCATTAGCTGCCCTTATTGTCTCTTTTGTCATTTATACTTGCATGACCCAAGCTTACTGAACGCCTTCATCATTTCAGTACCTGTGCTGGAGGTGAGTGGACTTGTGTCACCCAGTCATGTCCCGGGACTTGCAGTATTGAAGGAGGCTCCCACATTTCAACATTTGATGAGAAACATTATTCCTTCTTCGGAGACTGTAGCTATGTCCTGACCAAGGTAAAATGAATCACGTTCCTTGCTAAAGCATTATGCTAAAGCAAAATGCTTTTATTAAATATAATTTTGTTTAATTAAAACTAATAATAATGACATTAACTTTCTGTAACGTAGAGACTCAACATGGACCCTTAAATGGATTTCAGTGGGCTTTCTGTCAGAGTTACAGTAAATGAATATACCACAGTATTTTTGTGTATTTATTTTGACCATCATTTAAGAACTGCACTGCATTTTTAGGTTTTGTGAAATAATCTGTATGCTTCTCATTCACTTTTTAAATTAAATATTGCCTATCCATTGTTTTGTAACTATTTCTTTCTGAGTAACTTGCTTATTGCCTCCACTGGGACTATTCTTCTTGTCACAGTTAATATAGTTCAGGGCCTTATTTGATTAACAGTATTCATATTGGAATTATTATATAGAATTCACAGGAGATAAGTTATTTCATACATGGTGATCAGCCTTCCAAATAGCCTTTCCCAGTAAACATATAAAACTCTAGAATATAAAGCAAAAAGCTAAGACGTCATACAGATATTCTAAAACCTATATCAGAAATAAATAAATAATTAAGGAAAAAACCAACCAGGATATACTGGGCTTCTTAGATTACTAGAGACTAAATCTTGAGCAGGTATGTCTAAATTAATGACTATAGATTTGCAAATTTCAGAATCCTAAGTATATTTACTGCTGATTTGTATAGTGTGAGTGATGTAAACTAGTTTCATAAAGGCTTCTTATTAAATAAAACCTGCTCTCAAAACAATCAAACTGAATGTTGCCAGAAAAGAGAATTACCAACACTTAGAAATGAGCTTAGAATGAGGTAATTTAGAAATAAAATAGGCTAAATCAATGAAAGTCTTCCATAAGAATCACAAGCAAAGGGCTACATCCACAGTGGGAACACAGATCAAACTTACATGCTAAACTCTCCTTTGGGCACCAACACCTAAAATTAGTCTCAGAATCTCAGGAGGTATAAAAACATCTAAACCTGTACACAACAGTCCTAAAAATCTACAAATTTAACAGTGAATTACCATTTAGCTATAATTCTGCATCTCAGCTTTCCTCAATTCAGTCTTGACAATACCAAGGAAGTCCTAATATATGTTCAGATTTATAGTGTTCTGCGTGATTCCCTGTAATGTCTCTGACCATGACGCACACAGAACACACCCTCTGAAAAATCAGAATCAAGCGAAAATCTGCATTCCTCCTCCTTTATTCAGTAGCTTAGTGAACAGTGATTTTAGTTCATTTTTTTTCCTATGAGAGGATATTTAAATGGATATCTCCTACCTGTTAAAAGAATGTCCGGACCATCAGGTGTTTTGGTACACAATCTGTTCTGCGCAGAAAAAAAATGGAAACCATTTCTCCTCTCTCGTAGGTAAATGCCATAACTGAGGGGCAAGAAAGTCACACTTGATCCCTCTTCTCGAGAAAATTAAACTAGCATTACCTAAGCATTAGGAAGTTTTAACATTCAGTTTAATATATCTAACTTGCCTTTCTCTTTCTAACCTTTAATGTCAGAAGTAATGGATAGATTCCACTGTGAAATATGCATGAATGCCAGCTTACTCTGGTGATTGTATACAGTTATATAAGGACATGTGAGCAGGAAGAAAAGGAATAAACAATATTTTAAAAGACTCAGTTTACTAAGAATGCCATTTGAGCGTGATCTCTTTTAAGACACTGGGCATATTTTGTTTTCTTCTTCTAGCTCTGTGACAGCAATGATTTCACTGTTCTGGGAGAAATCCACAAGTGTGGCCTGACTGACACAGAGACATGTCTCAAGGGTATAACCGTCAGTATAAGTGGAGGACAAACTGTAAGTAGCAAATGCAAGCACCTAACATTCTGTAGGGATGTTTTCAAAACTGAATAGACAAATAGGTTGCAAATGACATGTAACAGCACAGATAAGAAAACTGCATTGATTTTTATCTCATTTGAACATTAATCAAATAAAAATTAAGAGTAAAGTACGTACACTGGAAAACAAGATCCTCGTAGTTTTCAGTCATTTAGTTATCTTTGGGTTTTTGTTTGTTTTAACAGTCAATGGGCCACTACAATAAAGAGTAACAAAATAGTATAGGAATCAGAAAATCACCAAACCCCAAGCCCTCCCTCCACTTTTTTTCCTTCATCCTGAGTTGTACTAGATTTAAAAACTTTTGGAATGTGTTTTATCTTTCCTACACATGCTTAATAATCATTGCCTTTTCCTTTGAACAGAACATTGTGATCCAGCCTTCTGGCAGTGTATTTGTGAATATGATCTACACACAACTGCCATTCTCTGCAGGTAAGTTCCTCTGGAAGACTTTTGTGGTGGTTTTTGTCTTTAACTGTAAAAACTTATTACATTACTTCATCTAAAGCCAATTCTACCTTTGGTTACAGTGCAGCAAGCCCGAGGAACTCAAACAGAACTTCATCTCTGATTCTTAAAGTACTAAGGTTTGTCTATATGAAATTAACTCTTTTCTGTTCTTTGTCCCTAGCAAACGTCACCATCTTCAGGCCATCATCTTTCTTCATCATTTTACAAACAACCTTTGGTCTTCAGCTAGAGATTCAGCTTGTGCCCATCATGCAACTTTTTATAAACTTAGACCCATCACATAAAGGGCAGACCTGTGGTAAGTGACCTTACGGTAACAACTGCCTTCTCACTATGCTTGATTCTGTTGGAGACTTTCACAGCCCTTCCGCTTCCTTTTAGGTCTCTGTGGAAACTTCAATGACGTCCAGACAGATGACTTCAAAACAACCAGTGGTGTAATAGAGGGTACTTCAGCTGCCTATGGCAATACGTGGAAAACGCGGGCTGATTGTCCTGATGCCAAAAACACCTTTGAGAACCCCTGTACCCTCAGCATAGAAAATGGTAAGCTCAGCATACAGTAACCTCTCCTGTTCTCTTCTAAGATGGAAAGAGAAAATAAGCTGATCAACAACTAAGCATTTAAGCCGAAAAAACAGTGGACCATTTTCACACACACTGTTCTCCTCAGAAGACACTAGGTGTGTTCAGTTAATAAATAATAACTCTTAGCTCTAGTATATGATTTTGGATCTTCAAAAATATTCCTTTGGTTTAAGAAAGCAAGTGCTGGTTTTTTCCAGTTGACTTAAGGGGAACTGGAACCACACACCATACGAGGGATCCACTCCTGGAAATCACTGAGTGTCAAATAGGAAAGAAACTGTGTATGGGCCCACTGAAGGTTGGACCCAGTATAATCTTTCCACTGCCAAACTGTGAACCAGACTTATAATTCATCAGTTCATAGCTCTTAGACTTCATTTCAGCCAATGAAATACTAACTTTTTGAGCATCCACAAGCCACTCTTCTGGCTTCTAGGTTGAGCTAGTGCATTTTTAATGCACAATGGGAATCTCCTTTTTCAAAATGTGGCTATGGGTGATTAGTTTGTTCCATGACAAGTACCATGAGTTAACTGCATTCAATTTATTAAAAGTTCATATTTCTGTATAGAGGAAGCAGCAGACTGCTCTTGTTTAAGGAAACGTAGAACTGAATTCTACTTTAAAATTAAGCTTCTACAGTTTTCCTGCACGAAGTATAATTACAATGACAAAATAATTTAGAAAAAGAAGCACAACAGAAATTCTTAACATGTTCTAAATTCACAGACCAGTATGCTCAGCACTGGTGTGGACTGCTCTCTGACACCGCAGGACCTTTTGCTGAATGTCATTCAACAGTGAATCCAGAAGTTTATCAGAAGGTACTTGGCTCATAACTTTTTCCTGTTTAAAAGAATGAGACTCGGATTCCTGATACTAACACCTGAGGGAGTAAATTGCCGATTGGGAGGACCTGTTTGAAATAAAATATTCATGACAATCCTTTTCCAGCCAACAGTTCATTTTCATTAATGCATCGTAACACTTAGTGCTTTGTGAAGGTATCTTTCTTTCCATTCCCAGGAACTTACAGGATACTCCTGCTGCCCATAATTTTAGGCACTAATCTAAATGTCTAAGCTAGCAGCTTGGACTCTCTCTCAGGTTAAAGGACAGAAGCAGCCCCTCCTGAGAGACATAATGAGAGCCTTAGTCAGGAGCTTAACCAGTACTTTGCTTAGTTGCTCTGAACGCCTCTCAGGATGCATCTACTTTTGCACATATCCAAGGTCAACACAAGAAATGCATGTAAAAAGCAGCAAAGAGATTTAGATAAGATGTGAACAAAAATGTTGCATGAGTTTGAGGTGGTGAAGCTCTGGAACAGACTGCCCAGCAACTAACATTGGAAATCTGTTAAGAATATGTTCAACAAACATCTTTGGGAATGACAACACTATAGTGACCTTGCCTGGCATAGCAACAGATTCATATTAAATATACTCTTGTTTTCTTCATTCCTCTGATGTAAAGAGCCCAACCTCCTATCTGAGGTGCTAAAAGTCAGGTGATATCAAAAACTCTCTAATTGTTCCACTAAGTATATATGGCACTGTGGTTACAAACTGAAAGAAACTGGGAAACACACCACTACCCTCTAAAAAGGTAAAAAAGAACATCAAGAAGGACAAAAAAATTGGAACTGTGGGCCTCTAACTGCTATCCCTCCTTACAAGGAGTTTTTTCTGCAGGGGCTCCAGGCAATTTTTAAATGAAAAACAGGCATATGTTTGCTTGTGTATACGAATCGCGCTGCTTTTAGCACTAACAAATCTAACAGTCTAAAAAACACAGACTTTACTTTGATATGACTATCTGGTGATCATATGTCATCCTGTGTCCCTAGAACTGTATGTTTGACACATGTAACTGTGAGAAAAGTGAGGACTGCATGTGCGCTGCTCTTTCAAGCTACGTCAGGGCCTGCGCTGCTAAAGGAGTTCTCCTCACTGGATGGAGGAGCAACGTCTGCAGTAAGTTCCGCATTCCTTCGTCTCTTCAAAGTGATCATCCATAAGGTCCCACAGACCTTCTTTCAGGATATACAGGATTCTCAGGCTAAATTGTGTTACATTGTGTTTTAAGTATAGCAATAGGAATAAAATAAGTAGGATATCTCTCAACATACTGTTACAATAAATATTTTTGTGGAAGAAGGAAAATAAGCACAAAGAAAAACAATACTGTATACGTTAATATTTAATTTAACTTCTTTTCTTTGACCTAGAAACAATTGTATTTAAGGCACTTAAAAGTGTAGGGATAAATTTTGCTCTAGAGTACAAAAAATATTTAAATTATACTATTGAGGACATCAGCAAAGCATGCAGCCATCTTTTTCAAACGTACATACACATAGTGCCATTTTTGATCATATGCACTTCACCTCAAATATTGCATTTATACCTACATTGATTATTAAATGGACCACAAATGTAACTCACCTTATTTTACTCTCTCAAGAAAAATATACCACCTCATGTCCCAAAACCTTGAAGTACACTTACAATGTTGATTCCTGTCAACCCACTTGCCGGTCTCTGAGTGAGCCTGATGTCACATGCAATATCAAGTTTGTCCCAGTTGATGGCTGCACCTGCGTAAATGGAACCTACATGGATGAAAGTGGCAAATGTGTGCCTGCGTCTAGCTGTCCTTGTTACTACAAAGGAACCTCTCTGCCTTCTGGGGAAGTTGTTCATGATAATGGTGTTGTATGGTAAGAGATTTGTAAAGAAAAGACAGATGGATACGGGCAATTGTGAAACCATATGTACCAGATGCAATCTATTCAAATCCAAAGAGTTTCTCTCCCTAATAATTTCAATGTGAAAAATCACAAATCCTCGAAAATTGTTAGGGCTATTTAAGTTTAGAAGACTGCATTTAGACTAGTGCAATACTCCAACAAACCATACATACTTTTCTTATCCATGAGCTTAAAAAACTTCTTCCATAGGGGCAGATGCCACAAGTTTGATAAACCCGTTAGAATTAACGGTATGAGTGGAATCTGGAATATTGTAAAGGACAGTTTTTAATCAGGCAAATGCACTGAGCAAACATGTCCTTATATAAAACAACGTACTTCTATTTTGGACAGCTCTAACATAAAATACATGTAAATAGCACAAACAATTATAAAGGACGTTTTCTCTGTTTTATCACATAGTGCTTTTTCAGTGTTTCAAATTCCTTAGGAAACAAACCGAAACCTAACAAGAGAAGCAAATATAATTCCCTTCTGTTTTCTTATAGCACTTGCATCCATGGAAAGCTGAGCTGCATTGGAGAGAAACCAGAACCAGGTAACATACCACTTAAGATTTTCTCCCTTTCCATCTTCCTGCTTTTCAATTTGCTCTTTTTTGTCATAATGATGCAAATTGGCCAAGTCTGAAGTCAATCAAGAAAATGAACTGGTGACCTTTGTAACATATAGGATATTTCTGAAACAAAAAGAATCACTGGGCTAATTTTCAGATGGCAGGAACAAGTTATAACAGGGTTATCCAGGTGAAAAGAACATTTTTTCACTGCTTAAAATACTGCGTATGAGGAGAAGAGCTTCCACATTTTATAGAAAAGTACTAAAAGCCAGTCTTTGCTTTGTGGTTTTTGCTGAAATGAAGATTTGCATGAAGATAACTCAACATTAATTTCCATGGGTAAGCCAAAAAAAGCATAAAAAAAGATCAGCATCACTACCAAATAACATTCAGTTTCTTTTTCCGGTCAAATACATCCTAGTAAGGTGCACGTCACAAAGGAGTCCAAGTGTTTTTCTGTATTAAGTAAACACAAAGGTATAAATACACGTTTGATCTCATATTTCTCGTGGCTTTTCCTCTTCCAGTCTGCACACCTCCCATGTTCTATATTGACTGTGGCAATGCCACTTCAGACATGATAGGAGCTGAGTGCCAGAAGAGCTGTCAGACTCTAGACATGGGATGCGTAAGTATAGATTCTTTATACCCAGTTGTAAGCATGTTAAACTAGATTTCTCTACCACTTACCAACTGTAGATGGACTCTTCCATCAGGGCGCTATATCAAATCATGTTTTATGCATGGTCCTTACAGTACAGAACGCAGTGTGTCTCTGGCTGTGTATGTCCTGGCAATCAAGTGCTAGATGGCAAAGGTGGCTGTATAGCTGCAGAGGACTGTCCATGTATTCACAATGGTGATTCCTACCGTCCAGGAGAATCAATCAGAGTTGGCTGCAACAACTGGTAAGAGCATATGGAAAAATACTATTTTCAAGCATCTGAAAAGGGATAGTTTAAGCTCTAAGTGAATCACAGTTTTCCACTCTAGTAGTATCAAGATTTACAATTGACAATGGAATCCTATATAAGACGCTCCACTTAGTTACTAAGATGCAAGCTCTTTTTGTTTTTTTACAGCGGCACATAGCACACAAATTGCAAGCGGTCAGGAGAACAACATGTTTTGGATGCTCTCATATTCATTAGAGATAGTCAAGAAAGCTTTTTTCCGCTCAGGCTATAGGCAATCCCTACATTTCAATACATCCAATAAGATTCTGAAATGTGAAAGATTTAAAATCTTTCCTAACTCAAATGACTCATGATATATTGAAGCACCACAGTCTTTGGGTACGCCCCAAAGGCTAGGATGCTATGCTGTGTTTCTGCTGAGAAAATGCAAACTTTACTTTTTCATTATAGATGTTACATTTTAAACACTGATAAATGTGCATGCAGAAATGTATATATATAGTGTATTTGTTTCTTACATTTGGCATGCTTTTCATCTCATGTAGCACTTGTAGAAACAGAAAGTGGCAATGCTCTGAAGAACCTTGCCCAGAAACCTGTTCTGTTTATGGAGATGGGCATTACACCACCTTTGATGGCAAACGTTTTGATTTTGAAGGAGACTGTGAATATGTGCTGGTCCAGGTAACAGAGTCCTTCCTAGGATTTTGCACTGCTGAAGTATTTTGCATATGATGACCTAGCTTCATTAACATTGAATATCATTCCCATTTTCAGACCCTGCATCATTAACGCTGAATATCATTCCCTTTTCTCAGAACTACTGCGGTAAAAAAAGTTGGAATCAGGGAACCTTCAGAGTCATCACTGAGAACATTCCATGTGGCACTACAGGAACCACCTGCTCTAAGTCTATTAAAGTTTTTATGGAGGTAAGTATTTTCTTTAGTAAGTTGCGCCCAGGGCCTTATGTGGTAGAATGACGAAATAGCCTCTTCCAGATAGATTGCATTGCAAAAGTGTCCACCAAGATGTTGAAAATGTTGTTATACATCCTTGCTTGCTGCCAACAATTCTGCTCACTGCTACAGAAAACAAAAGAGGGACTTCTACAGTGAAATTGCTAAAATGAGGTGGCTGAATAGAATCATTTTGATGATAATAGAATCAATTTCAACAATAGCTAGTGCCAATATATAAAATTGGACACAAAAGCTGCCTTTTTAAATTGGCTTCTGACTTCTTCTGTTCCTGTCCCAGAATTATGAATTGGTGCTCACTGATGGACACTCTGACGTCATCCAAAGGACACCTGGAGGAAAAATGCCATTCCAAATCCGTTCCATGGGCATCTACATGGTGGTTGACACTAATGTTGGCCTGATACTCATGTGGGACAAGAAAACCAGTATATTCATCAAACTTAGCCCCGACTTTAAGGTACATGTTAAAAGCCAAAACTTGGAGACAACTATTTCTGACTCAATTTCATGTTGTCACTCAAAGGAAAAAACCAAAAAGTTAGGCTGTAACTGGAAGATTGAACGACTGGCAACTGCATATTATTATCCTTGTAGTACTAACTTAAATTCTGTACTAAACATTTTCCATAAATTATGTTATTCAGCAATTGCATAACTACAGCTACATCAGTAAGCTTTCTTCATGAAAAGCCATCAGTAAAGAGGTATGTTCAGAATTAGATAAAACTAATTAGCTCAATATTTACAACAAAAAAACCATGAGTCTATTCTGCTTCTTTATCTTGTCTAGCAATAAATTAGAAGCACCTCTTCATGAAACTCATGTTATAAGGCTGTCCAAGACTGTTACTGAAGAAACCATCTTAAAGTTAAAATGGGTTTCACCCAGAGGTCCCTTACTCACAGTTACTGATAAACTACACCTTACTGATCTTCATCTTTTTGTGTTTATGCTCATGCAGGGACATGTCTGTGGCCTCTGTGGAAACTACGATGGCAATGGGAACAACGATTTCACTACTCGCAGCCAGTCAGTGGTAGGGAATGTGCTGGAGTTTGGCAACAGCTGGAAAGTGTCTTCTACTTGTCCAAACGCCAATCGTACCAAGGATCCCTGTGCTGCAAACCCTTACAGGAGCTCCTGGGCACAGAAGCAATGCAGCATCATCACCAGTGAAGTTTTTGCGAGGTGTCATTCCCAGGTATGACAAATCTTCACTCTGAAATTCTCTTGAGCCAGAGCTTACATTAGTTTTTATGTGAGACAACTGGATAATACACTAGGAGTTAGATTAGCACATACCTGACAAAGTGAAGCTAGAGCAAGTTCCAGGGAGACTATATAGAAATGATAGATATTCACCTTCACTTCCTCAGCTATGACATAAACTAGTACACCTGAGAAACTGATGGTGGAAAAAATATTATCAGTTCACTTCTTTTTAGAAGGGACAATCACGGATAAATGTCAGGGCATGTTTAATTTTTAATGGCATCATCTTCTGCTAAAACAGCTGCCTGATATCTATGATTGTGTGCTAGAATCTACTAAAGTAACAATTATTTCTGCAAATGTGTCTTTAACATCAGATAATTCTTAGGGTTATGACTTATTATTAATAGTTGTATTCTACATTTCTCAATTGATTTTTGAAAACATCCTTTCTTCATTTCTTTTTACTCACCTTTTTATGTGAGAAAATTCCTTTTCAAAGAAGAGAACAAGTGCATGAAATAAAACACATCTGTTTTCTCCAACAGGTTGAACCAAATGAATATTACCAAGCATGTGTGAATGATGCTTGTGCCTGTGACACTGGAGGAGACTGTGAATGCTTCTGTACAGCAGTAGCTGCCTATGCTCAAGCATGCAATGAGTTGGACATCTGCATTTCATGGCGAACCCCATCCATCTGTCGTGAGTCTCATCACACTTTCTGAAGGGGACAAGAGAGAAAGAAAACAGAGACCAAAAAAGGAAAACAAGTAGGAAGAAGAAAGAAAGGAGGATAAAATTGTATTTGCAAGAGCCATTGCTGTTTTCCAGATGCAGCAAAATAACACAAAGCAAGCTGTGTATCAGTGGAAGCCAATCTATCTTACTAAAATGAAATAATACACTAGTAATTGTATCAGTGGTGCTGTTAGTGTCCTATTTACTTGTTGATCATGATGCACTACTGGTAAATTATAATACTATGATGTACTCCTGGCTGTCTACATCTGATTTTAGTTAATATACACTAATATTTATAAGTAAATAAGTAAGTGTATTAGTAAATACACTAATATTTACTTACTTATAAATATCAGGGTATATTTGCTAAAATCAGTGCTTTAATTAATTGATTTTTAATGCTTTATGTGTAACTCTGTTTGATGCTTTACAACCTTATTGGTCTCAAAGGATGGTCAAAGTACAATAATCATATTAAATTAGAAATAAGATACACTGTTCACCTCTTACATGATTATGCTAATGACATAGGATTTGTACCCAGAAAAACTATAGCAATGAAGGACCTCAAGGCAAAAAAAAATCGGATGTATCTTTCTGCCATTTCTCCTTCCTCTAGCTCTGTTCTGTGATTACTATAATCCACAAGGGGAATGTGAATGGCATTACAAGCCGTGTGGAGCTCCTTGTATGAAGACCTGCAGCAACCCAAGTGGGAAATGCCTTCATGAGCTGAGAGGTTTGGAAGGTAAAGATAATTATGCAGATCTCATCCTTCTTATAAAAAGATAAAATGGAATATAATGAACAAAATTCATATTACTCAATATATGAAATGTTTACATTAGAAATTGCAAGAGGAGATTTTCTAAATTGTATGTAATTCCCTAATGGATCATGAACTTGTTTGGAGTGAATGTGAGAAAAAAAAAAAAATGCTCCAAAGCTCAACGTGCAATTGATGGAATAGCAATAACGGAAGGTGAAATTCCTCTCACCAAAAGGAATGATTTGGGGAGAAAAGATATTGGCAGAGTATAAAGTTACTTCTACCTGTGACAGGCCTAGTGTCAATATAACTCATCTTTTTGCAGGCTGCTATCCACATTGTCCAAACAATAAACCCTACTTTGATGAAGAAACCATGACCTGTGTTTCATATTGTGGTTGTTATGATGATAATGGAAAACGTTACAAGCCAGGAATGAAGATGCCTTCAAAAGAAAACTGTAAATCATGGTAGGACCAATAAAGACTTTTAAGAATGAGTTTAAGGTTGTGATTGAAACATAACTCATCATGCATTAAATTTCTGTTTGCTAACAGGAACTAATATGCTGTTAATTAATGTCTAATTTTCTTCTGTTTCCAGGAAGTGAAATAATGACAGGGTGAAACATTTTACTGTAGAGAGGTTAATTTAGTACTCATTCTGTACTCCTACTGAAATAATTTTAAATTATTATTATTAAATTAAGTAAGAATAAATTAGTAATAACAGTTACTGCAATAGTTACAGAACTTTTATCAAGTTATCCCTAAAATCACTATGTGAAATTACTTAGAACTTAGTAAACAACTAATCCTACTTGTTTAGAGCTTGTTTCTGTTATTCTGCTGGTGCTTAGGTATTTGCTACAGTCAGCAAGTATTCCTATATATTCTGTCAGAATTAATGAATATAGTTATACATGTTGGGACAAATGCTGATAAGCCTTCTATCAAGCAGCACGAAGTTAGAAACAGTTAACTCATGTCCTAAGATATATTTAAAGTAGCTACACTGAATACTGCAAGCAGTGCAGCCAGAACTAGCAAGGAGCTTAGTGCTGAGACCATCTGAGCATTTACACAACTTTCATGGCATGTTTTGCAGTTCATAGACAGCTTTGCCCTGCATCATCTATGTGATTAAAGGCACTAAACCTAAACTGTTAAATACATATGTGTATTCACTGAAGTTTATTCAGTGTACAGATGCCCTTAGCCACAGTAAATAAAGATATCAGGAATCAGTTCTTAATAAGTAACAGATAAATCTCCATTAAAAACAGACCACATTCTCACAGGTAATTTCTTGGAAATCTGGGGAAAATTCTCTATGGGACAACCTCAACATCAGCAATACAGTGATCCTTTCTCAAATGCTACATTTACTGCACTTTCCCTTCAAGGGATAAGTGAACTTCTTAAGGAGATGAAAAGAGTTCAAATCACGCCCCCCATCTTTCCCCAGCCTCCGAAAGCAGCGTTAAGAATACCCAAAGCTAAGTACACTGGCATATAAGAATTGCCTTTCTTGCCTGAAAACTTGAGCGATCCTACCTAACTTGAATTTGTACAGCAGAACTGAATACCTGAAGCAGAGAAAGATAAGGTCTTTCTACATTTACACATACAGTGAATAGCAAAGGAGCAACAGAAAAATTAAACGAGTAAAATGATGTCATTAACAAATATATTCATATTCATTGTTTCCTTTCTTCTTTTCCAGTGAATGCACAACTAGTGGCAAAAATTGCAAATATGATGCATATGGTATGTTGACAAAGTTGTTTTTATCTGAATAGGATGCATTTGAAGCTCCCTACTCACGTTTCAGGTACTGACTGATAACATTCTCTTTTGATTTACAGCATGCCACTGCATTTATGAGGGACACATATACAACTATACAGATGTGATCTACAATACTACAGATGGCACAGGAGGATGTATTGTTGCAACCTGTGGTCCCAATGGGACACCTGAAAGGCATATCTATGAATGTCCAAACATAACATCAACCACAGCATCAACACCATTTCACTTCAGCACTACGCCACCTGCCACTACTCACACAGGTACATCCTCTGTTGCTCATGTGAACTTATGCTATTCTTTAGTGAGTAAAATATAGATACCAAACCATGCCCATGCTTACAACCTAAATGAATCAATACAATGTCAAAATATATGAGAGTCAGTCTCATTTCTTATTAGCATTTGGTTACAGTCATCATTTGTTAATCAAACTGATACAAAAAATAAAACCACTTCCAAAACACCACAGTGGAAACCACTGCATGCTGCTTTCATACTATTCTTTTGCTTATTTTCACAGCAGTAAATGATAAGAAAACTGTATCAGATTTACCATCTGTAATTGTAACTATTTCTATGCCATTTCTATTAAAATTTCTCTTGGTAGTGACTCCTGGAATAATCTTTACTGAAAGAATAATTCATTAATTATTTTTCCTATTAAATTACAAAATGATTGCTTTCTTTAAAATTCCTGGTAGGGTTCATGGTATTTTTAATTACAGTAGTAAGTGCACTGCTTAGATATTGGCATTCATATACTGAAACTATCATTTCTAGAATGCCTGTTCAGTATTCTTCAGGTTGACAATGTCTACTTACTATGACCACGTGATGTTTAATGAAATATGAGTTCAGTATAAAATTCAGAACTACAGGTTTTGAGATCACATAAGCCATCAGCACAGCTGGAATTCATTAGCAGCTTTTTTTCAGCCATTTCACAATGAGAATTCACCTGGACTGAATAAGCAAAAGTTCATGAACTGCTCTCCAGCCAATAAATGGTTTCTTAAGACGAGAGCTAATGTACAATATGGCAGTGTAGGGACTCTATTAACGCTTCATCAGTCATTCTGTAACTTCAAATGGAGGAGCAAATGCAGCATCTCATGAGAAGTCAATTCATTTGGGAAAAAAAAGTACCTATGAATCCTCATGCATAGAATGGGAAACTAAATGCTATTCTTTCCACTGATTTCCACTAGGTTTGAATCAGAGCTTTGTCAGAGCTTTAGGAGGGACTAATAAATGTAGATGCAAGATGTAAACCAATCAATTACACTGAGTAAAATGCAAAAAATGTGAAGTTTGGGGTAGTTTGGGTTTTTTTTTATTTTTTGCCAACTGTGCAAATCATGTGCATTTACGTTAGGGAGTTACTTTCTTACACTTTAGTACTTGAGTCTTATTTCAGCACTTGTTAAGAGATAATTGGCACTCTCTTTGAAATGACAGTTCCAAGCATGCCTTTAAGTCAAAATGCTGGCTGATGGATTCTCTGTTCCAGTTCATATTAAATTATAAGCACACTAAACTGATGTATTATAGGCTCATAATGCAAGCAAATGACCTTACAAAAATGTTCAGCCCATTTAATATATAAAAAGAGAGATTATCTATGGACATTTATTTTTAAGTTATATGGATTATCTTTTTCTCTTTTACCCATAGTGTCACCAACTACATCAGTATGTGTTCATGAAGTTTGTGACTGGTCAGAATGGTATGATGGGAATCAGCAAACGCCTGGCTATGATGGTGGAGATTTTGAAACATTTAATGATTTGAGAGCTAAAGGTTATGAAGTCTGTAAAGCTCCAAAGGCTGTTCAATGCAGAGCAGAGAAATTTCCTAACATACCACTGAAAGAACTTGGTCAAAAACTAGAATGCAGTAAAACAGCTGGACTTATATGCTACAACAAAGATCAAATTTCAACAATGTGCTACAATTATGAAATCAGAATCTTATGTTGTGTTTTTGTACCATGTACTCAGACAACTGTCACCACAAAATCTTATGAAACTACTACACCAATCACACTTACAACTCCAGAAACAACAACCATGACTATTTCTTCAAAAACATCTTTTGAAACAACAGCAAGTATTTCCACTGAGGCAATATCCAGTACAGTACCTTGTGAACCTGAGTGTAAATGGTCTAAATGGTATGATGTCCATTCCCCAACTTTGCACAACAAGGGAGATTATGAAACTTATCATGACATTAGAGCTTCTGGACAAGCAATTTGCAGAAACCCTGAAAAAATACAATGTAGAGCAGAGAAATATCCACATAAATCTATTGAAGAAATTGGCCAAGTTGTTCACTGCAATGTAACATATGGACTTATCTGTAGAAATGAGGATCAAAAAGGAGAATTGCGTATATGTCTTAATTATCAAATAAAGGTATTCTGTTGTGATGACTACAGCCACTGCCAAACAACAAGAGTAACATCTACTGCATCAACTGAAACTTCTACACAAATATCTACAACTACAGAAATTATATCATTTTCATCCACCACAAGATTAACACCGAATACTACCACTTCTGAAAGCACAACATTCAAACCCTCAACTGCTACAAAAACAACCACAAGCGCATCCACAACAGAAAAAACAACAGCTGTCACCACTTCTCCTTCAACACCTATTTGTACTGAAGAAGAATGTGAATGGTCAAGGTGGTATGATGTAAGCTACCCAAAATCTGGATATGATGATGGAGATTTTGATACAATTCAGAACATAAAAAAACAGGGATACAAAGTATGTGATAACAGAAAAGCTGTGGAATGCAGAGCAGTAAGGTTCCCTGACACACCATATCACCTCCTTGAGCAAAACATCACATGTAACACAGAAGAAGGGTTGATATGCTATAATAAGGACCAGTTACCACCAATTTGCTATAATTACGAGCTTAGATTTCAATGCTGTATGAATAAAACAGTACCATGCACTACAGTGCCCCATACAACTACACCAAACACAAAAATAACATCAACTCCTCACACCACATCAACTACACTGCCACCCATAGGAGTAACAACAACAAAAGAAACACCAACCATTCACACACGTCGACCGAAAACTACTCAACCAACAACTCCACCAAAAACAGAACATATTCATACGCCAACGACAACAGAGACAACAACAAAAACACAAACCACAAAAACCACACCACCAACCACCACCGTCACCAGCACCCCTACGCCAACCTCCACCCTCACCCCCACCACCACCACACCCTCCACCACCACCTGCGTCCCGGAAGTGTGCTCCTGGAGCGAGTGGTTTGACGTCGACTTCCCCTCCTCGGGGCCCGGCCAGGGAGACTTCGAAACCTACCAGCACATCAGGGCCGCCGGACAGAAAGTCTGTCGGCACCCAAAAGACATCCAGTGCCAGGCGGAGGACTACCCCGAAGTTTCCATCGAGCGCGTCGGGCAGGTCGTGCAGTGCGACGTCAACTTTGGACTGGTGTGCAAGAACGAAGACCAGCTCGGCAAATTCAAGATGTGCCTGAACTACAGGATCCGCGTCCTCTGCTGCAGCCCAAACCCGCTCTGCTCTACCACCACCATCATCCCCACCACAGTCACCATCTCCCCACAAACACCGTGTTTCTGTAAAATTGGGAGTGCTATATATTCGCCTGGTGAGTTTACATTTTTTATGTATCTCTTTATCTCTTTCTATCTGACTATGTATTCATTTTTCATCATTTTTTTCATAAGTTTTAATATATTCATGCTTTTTACATGGAAATATTGTATAGTCGTCTTTTTTTTAGAAATATTTTCTTTCTTTTTTTAATTCCTTTTCATCCCCTTTTAGGTGATGTGATTTACAACAGAACAGACAGTGATGGATGTCGTTTTTATGCTATCTGTAATCAATCATGTTCAGTTGAACGATTCACAGGATCATGTAGCTTTACTACTCCTGTCATAACTACTTCCCCCCAAACCTCTACGTCAGTTCCTGTGGCTCCCCCTACTGGTTGTTATTCTAGTACTCACCCTCCCTTAAAGGTATGTAATTACTGGGTTCTTTTAACATTTTTCAATTCAAATCAGTACTATGTTGACAACAAAAAGAGACAGTTTTCATTCTTTAAAACTTTTATGTCAGGATTGCCAAAATAAACATTGTTAGTGATGGACAACACACATTCCCATTTCTGTGTAATGATTTAAAATTTTTATGTGCCTTCTTGATAGAATTTTTTGCATACTGAGAAAGGAAGCAGCAATAATCTTTTCCAAATAACATATATGTTATTCATAAATGAGATACATGTGTGCATACTTTTTTTTTTCCCCCTAGTGGTCTGCACTGATGGTGAGGTAAAGTATAGGTAGCCAGAGCAAAGGGCGTTTATTCCCTTTACCTAAAACCTATCCCAAAATCCTCATCTCAGGAGAGTTCCTCATGCAGAAGCAATAGCTGGAACTACCACTCCTTTTCAGTATAAGCCACCTTTTTAATTGCCTAGAATACTGTCAACCTTGTACTGTCAGTGCAGATTTGCATTGTAGCCTCTGTTCCAGATCTGGGAAGTAACAGTTTTGGGTTGTCCATATCATGGTCAGAAGTATGAACCCCTGTAGTCAACATTACAAATCATGAATACCACAAATTCAAGAGCAGGAACATATATTCCTTTCTAATACTACCATCACTGGAAACATTATATACCATTAGATTAAAAATATGGATAAAGTTCATACCTGTTTGCAAATTCCTGTGACAGCAATTTTTGTTCATTTTGCAGCCTGGCCAAAGAATGAAATTATCCAACTGCACAGAACTCCTCTGTGAGGGAGACAACAAAGAAAAAGTAATTCCAACACAATGCTCACCAGTAAAGGAAATCACCTGTGCTAACAGATATCCACCAATACTGGTACCTGATGAAAATGGCTGCTGTTACCACTATGAATGTCAATGTAAGCATCAGTAAATTAAAGAATTGCATTTTTGGAAAAAAGCAAAACTTTGCACAGAATACAAGGGGATTTTTTTCCTCTGGATTGCTCTAGAAATTGTGATACATTCGGTTAAGTTTCTAAATTCTTTCTTCTACATTAATTTTAATATTAATCTCCTAAATATTTTCTCTCCATCAGGTGTGTGCAGCGGATGGGGTGATCCTCATTATATTACTTTTGATGGAATCTACTACACTTTCCTTCAAAACTGCACTTATGTCCTAGTGAAACAGATTGTACCTAAATATGACAACTTCCGTGTTTACATTGACAATTATTACTGTGATTCAGAAGATGGACTTTCCTGTCCTAAATCGATTATTATTTTCTACAAATCTACAAATGTGACGTTGACCCGTGAACTAATGAATGGTGTGATGAAGAATGTGGTAAAATATACACTTTTTTATTTCTCTGTTTTTCTTAAAAAGAAATAAGGTTCATAGGTCTTACTGATTCTCATTTGAAATATAGTCTGTTAGAATATCATATCCCAGAGATGACTAGGATAGAGGCAGCACTAGGAGAAAAATATTACACCTATTTCTAGGAATCAAATGTCAGAAACATCAGAAACAGCACTGTACAAATATGAATATATTATGTTCATGCATATGTATATATAAATAACAGTAGGAAGCAGACTAATACAGCTGACAGAGAGAAGATAGAAAGAATATTTGCGCTGTTGCTTGAAGATTAATCTTTCATGAAAACTAGTATATTGTGTATTCACTTATGTGAGTAAACACGTTACAAAAAAACACAGCAACAGATGATAAGCATGCTTCTTTTCTGATGGTGAAGACTGGTATGTATCCCATACTGGTTGGCTGACTAGGGATTCCCTCCTTTGTATGGGGAACCTCAGGCATCAAACAGAGCCATGGCTTCACTCCCTCTCTGATTGCCTGCTGGGAAGGGAGGTACAGCTAAGAAAAGGGGTGAATGGGGGTGTCCCTTTGCCCTTATAATGCTAAATCAGTGTTGATGGCTGGTGAAAATCAGAAGTCAGTTATGCTGCCACTGTTACACTGGGGAGTTAATTAGTTGGTCAGAGAACTCAAATAGGTGGGAGGATACATTTGTCAACCTGCATTCTGCCCCTCAGAGCCACACCAAGCTCTATTCACTCCAGTCAGAAAGCCACATGGAAAAGGTCCAGTGATTCCCTATGAGAGAAAATAGGAACTGGCAGTTTTAACTCCTACTTCATCTCAATTCAATGAGAAGAAAGTTGCAGAATAATTCCCGACAGAAAGTTATTAAGCAAATATGCCACCTTCATTAGGTCATGTAAGATGGACTGCAAATGGAAGAGCTTAGATTAAAGAATAAATATGACAGCTAAGGAAAAATAGCACCAGGCACATTCAAACTTCATCTTGAATTGAGAGGACTCTTCCAATGCTAGGCAATATGCAGCGTTGGGACTATGTGATTTTGTAGCAATTTCAAAGTTATTACATAACAATGGTGGAAACATTTTTGCAGTTAAAAGAAAACTATCATCCCTTTCTATGTGGAAAAGTTTACATTAAACAAAATGATATTATCAATAACATACTTAGGTTTAGAATGATGTGCATTAGCACACAGTCTGCCCAAACTTGGCATATATAGGCCACTTCATTATTGTTCTTATTTTATTATTCTTATTTTATTATTCTGTCACACTGGAACAACATAGCCACACAAGCTGAAAATGAATGTAGCATATGTTGTTATTGCAATGAAAGCTGTCATTGAATATGATGTACAGCAGTAAGTTATGCATAATTATGAAGATTAGTACATTATTTAAAACAATTAGGCCAAAGCAGCTCTTATTCTGAAATTTGTTTTTTTTTTAACCCTACATTCAGATTTACTTCAATAAGAAGATCGTCCAACCAGGCTTCAAGAAAGATGGCATTTCTATTTCAATGCTTGGCATCAATATGATTGTTGAAATACCAGAGATTGGTGCAACCATCACCTTTAGTGGGCTGATTTTCTCAGTGAAGCTCCCCTTCAGCAAATTTGGCAACAACACTGAAGGACAGTGTGGTAAGATAGATGCACTACTGATTCTTTCTCCACCCTCCCATGGTTATTCTCACCCACTCTGTTTATGCAGGGTCACCATAGACAGAAATGTTTCAAATAGCATTAAAGTGGAATTGAGAACACTTTTGGTCTTAAACTTCTTATTTTAAGATCCATAGCTCAATATTATGACAATCTGCTTTTTTGATTTTGGGGTTGGGGAGGGGTTGGTCTTTTTTTTTTTTTTGCCCCAAACAAAATTACAATTCATAGAAATGTAGAGAAAGCATTTCCTGTGAAGCAGGGCACCTGATAGATACATTTCTTGTGCAAATCAGTTCTAAATTTGGTATGTATTGTGCACCTCAGATGTGGCTTATGCAACTTACCCTGCTCCTCTCTGATGCCTTCCAGGAACATGTTCAAATAGCAAATCTGATGAATGCCGCTTGCCAAGTGGTAAGATTATTTCCTCCTGTCCCCAAATGGCTCATCACTGGCACGTTGGTAACGACACATCATGCAGTGGAGTACCACCACCACCAATTATAACCACACCTCCACCGTTGCCTCAGTGTAAAACTCCGCTTTGCAAGCTTATCAAGAGCAAGTAAGATAAAAACTGAATGAATTTGCTCTTCCCTAGCTAGACAAAGCTTTCTCAGTACCTTATGAAATGATTAAGAACTATAGCCCTATCACATAATCATATCTGAAAATATCAGCTTAATGACAGGATACAGGTAGTAAAAGGCCTTTGCAAAAGAAATTGCTCTTCTTTAAGGAGCTCAGTCCCAAAGATACCTGAGCAAGGAAAGGAGAAGTCAGCAAATCAAGGAGACAACAAGAATCAGAATTCATACTTTCTGGGTTTCAGTCACACGGATTTATGTTATCTTTCTCCCTCCCTGCTTTCCAGGCTATTTCCACTCACTCTTAGCTTAGTATAATTACTAACTTGGATAACTTAAGTAAAGACTGAACTTTAAGTTTGAACTGGACCTTTAGTATAAACAGTAAAGAGCCTGGTAACCAACCAGGCTAACAGAACAGATAAAAACATCTCAGCCAGAAGCGTCTTCAGTATTTGTGCATTTTGTATAAAACATACAGCTCCAAAAGCACCAGCACTAACAAAGGCCTGTTTCCTACATACCTATTTCCTACACCTGTATGAACTATGACCAAAGCTTGTTCTTCAGCTAGGTCATTTATAAAAGCCTCTCCCACATGCTTGCAGTAGTGTCTTATAACTTCTGAGCTATTAGATGTTTCCACCTCTTGGGCACTTCTAGCATTCCTTTTTCCTCTACCTACTGCAATTGCCTGCCTCAAGAAACTTGTGGTGTCAAACAGATGAAGAGTTGTGTACACGTACACAAACATTATGACCATTAGCCTCTTTAGAAAAATAGGCTCAGAACAGTCCTGAGGGCTTCAAATTTCCTTACCTTTCCTTCCCTGAACCTATCTCCCAGACTCTCCTGCGTCCCGGAAGTGTGCTCCTGGAGCGAGTGGTTTGACGTCGACTTCCCCTCCTCGGGGCCCGGCCAGGGAGACTTCGAAACCTACCAGCACATCAGGGCCGCCGGACAGAAAGTCTGTCGGCACCCAAAAGACATCCAGTGCCAGGCGGAGGACTACCCCGAAGTTTCCATCGAGCGCGTCGGGCAGGTCGTGCAGTGCGACGTCAACTTTGGACTGGTGTGCAAGAACGAAGACCAGCTCGGCAAATTCAAGATGTGCCTGAACTACAGGATCCGCGTCCTCTGCTGCAGCCCAAACCCGCTCTGCTCTACCACCACCATCATCCCCACCACCAGCCCCACCACCACCAGCAGCCCATGGACAACCACCTCCACACCATCATCCACCTCAGTCACAACCTCCACCAGCACCCACTCCACCTCCTCCGAAACCACACCACCAACCACCACCGTCACCAGCACCCCCACGCCAACCTCCACCCTCACCCCCACCACCACCACACCCTCCACCACCTCCTGCGTCCCGGAAGTGTGCTCCTGGAGCGAGTGGTTTGACGTCGACTTCCCCTCCTCGGGGCCCGGCCAGGGAGACTTCGAAACCTACCAGCACATCAGGGCCGCCGGACAGAAAGTCTGTCGGCACCCAAAAGACATCCAGTGCCAGGCGGAGGACTACCCCGAAGTTTCCATCGAGCGCGTCGGGCAGGTCGTGCAGTGCGACGTCAACTTTGGACTGGTGTGCAAGAACGAAGACCAGCTCGGCAAATTCAAGATGTGCCTGAACTACAGGATCCGCGTCCTCTGCTGCAGCCCAAACCCGCTCTGCTCTACCACCACCATCATCCCCACCACCAGCCCCACCACCACCAGCAGCCCATGGACAACCACCTCCACACCATCATCCACCTCAGTCACAACCTCCACCAGCACCCACTCCACCTCCTCCGAAACCACACCACCAACCACCACCGTCACCAGCACCCCCACGCCAACCTCCACCCTCACCCCCACCACCACCACACCCTCCACCACCTCCTGCGTCCCGGAAGTGTGCTCCTGGAGCGAGTGGTTTGACGTCGACTTCCCCTCCTCGGGGCCCGGCCAGGGAGACTTCGAAACCTACCAGCACATCAGGGCCGCCGGACAGAAAGTCTGTCGGCACCCAAAAGACATCCAGTGCCAGGCGGAGGACTACCCCGAAGTTTCCATCGAGCGCGTCGGGCAGGTCGTGCAGTGCGACGTCAACTTTGGACTGGTGTGCAAGAACGAAGACCAGCTCGGCAAATTCAAGATGTGCCTGAACTACAGGATCCGCGTCCTCTGCTGCAGCCCAAACCCGCTCTGCTCTACCACCACCATCATCCCCACCACCAGCCCCACCACCACCAGCAGCCCATGGACAACCACCTCCACACCATCATCCACCTCAGTCACAACCTCCACCAGCACCCACTCCACCTCCTCCGAAACCACACCACCAACCACCACCGTCACCAGCACCCCCACGCCAACCTCCACCCTCACCCCCACCACCACCACACCCTCCACCACCTCCTGCGTCCCGGAAGTGTGCTCCTGGAGCGAGTGGTTTGACGTCGACTTCCCCTCCTCGGGGCCCGGCCAGGGAGACTTCGAAACCTACCAGCACATCAGGGCCGCCGGACAGAAAGTCTGTCGGCACCCAAAAGACATCCAGTGCCAGGCGGAGGACTACCCCGAAGTTTCCATCGAGCGCGTCGGGCAGGTCGTGCAGTGCGACGTCAACTTTGGACTGGTGTGCAAGAACGAAGACCAGCTCGGCAAATTCAAGATGTGCCTGAACTACAGGATCCGCGTCCTCTGCTGCAGCCCAAACCCGCTCTGCTCTACCACCACCATCATCCCCACCACCAGCCCCACCACCACCAGCAGCCCATGGACAACCACCTCCACACCATCATCCACCTCAGTCACAACCTCCACCAGCACCCACTCCACCTCCTCCGAAACCACACCACCAACCACCACCGTCACCAGCACCCCCACGCCAACCTCCACCCTCACCCCCACCACCACCACACCCTCCACCACCTCCTGCGTCCCGGAAGTGTGCTCCTGGAGCGAGTGGTTTGACGTCGACTTCCCCTCCTCGGGGCCCGGCCAGGGAGACTTCGAAACCTACCAGCACATCAGGGCCGCCGGACAGAAAGTCTGTCGGCACCCAAAAGACATCCAGTGCCAGGCGGAGGACTACCCCGAAGTTTCCATCGAGCGCGTCGGGCAGGTCGTGCAGTGCGACGTCAACTTTGGACTGGTGTGCAAGAACGAAGACCAGCTCGGCAAATTCAAGATGTGCCTGAACTACAGGATCCGCGTCCTCTGCTGCAGCCCAAACCCGCTCTGCTCTACCACCACCATCATCCCCACCACCAGCCCCACCACCACCAGCAGCCCATGGACAACCACCTCCACACCATCATCCACCTCAGTCACAACCTCCACCAGCACCCACTCCACCTCCTCCGAAACCACACCACCAACCACCACCGTCACCAGCACCCCCACGCCAACCTCCACCCTCACCCCCACCACCACCACACCCTCCACCACCTCCTGCGTCCCGGAAGTGTGCTCCTGGAGCGAGTGGTTTGACGTCGACTTCCCCTCCTCGGGGCCCGGCCAGGGAGACTTCGAAACCTACCAGCACATCAGGGCCGCCGGACAGAAAGTCTGTCGGCACCCAAAAGACATCCAGTGCCAGGCGGAGGACTACCCCGAAGTTTCCATCGAGCGCGTCGGGCAGGTCGTGCAGTGCGACGTCAACTTTGGACTGGTGTGCAAGAACGAAGACCAGCTCGGCAAATTCAAGATGTGCCTGAACTACAGGATCCGCGTCCTCTGCTGCAGCCCAAACCCGCTCTGCTCTACCACCACCATCATCCCCACCACCAGCCCCACCACCACCAGCAGCCCATGGACAACCACCTCCACACCATCATCCACCTCAGTCACAACCTCCACCAGCACCCACTCCACCTCCTCCGAAACCACACCACCAACCACCACCGTCACCAGCACCCCCACGCCAACCTCCACCCTCACCCCCACCACCACCACACCCTCCACCACCTCCTGCGTCCCGGAAGTGTGCTCCTGGAGCGAGTGGTTTGACGTCGACTTCCCCTCCTCGGGGCCCGGCCAGGGAGACTTCGAAACCTACCAGCACATCAGGGCCGCCGGACAGAAAGTCTGTCGGCACCCAAAAGACATCCAGTGCCAGGCGGAGGACTACCCCGAAGTTTCCATCGAGCGCGTCGGGCAGGTCGTGCAGTGCGACGTCAACTTTGGACTGGTGTGCAAGAACGAAGACCAGCTCGGCAAATTCAAGATGTGCCTGAACTACAGGATCCGCGTCCTCTGCTGCAGCCCAAACCCGCTCTGCTCTACCACCACCATCATCCCCACCACCAGCCCCACCACCACCAGCAGCCCATGGACAACCACCTCCACACCATCATCCACCTCAGTCACAACCTCCACCAGCACCCACTCCACCTCCTCCGAAACCACACCACCAACCACCACCGTCACCAGCACCCCCACGCCAACCTCCACCCTCACCCCCACCACCACCACACCCTCCACCACCTCCTGCGTCCCGGAAGTGTGCTCCTGGAGCGAGTGGTTTGACGTCGACTTCCCCTCCTCGGGGCCCGGCCAGGGAGACTTCGAAACCTACCAGCACATCAGGGCCGCCGGACAGAAAGTCTGTCGGCACCCAAAAGACATCCAGTGCCAGGCGGAGGACTACCCCGAAGTTTCCATCGAGCGCGTCGGGCAGGTCGTGCAGTGCGACGTCAACTTTGGACTGGTGTGCAAGAACGAAGACCAGCTCGGCAAATTCAAGATGTGCCTGAACTACAGGATCCGCGTCCTCTGCTGCAGCCCAAACCCGCTCTGCTCTACCACCACCATCATCCCCACCACCAGCCCCACCACCACCAGCAGCCCATGGACAACCACCTCCACACCATCATCCACCTCAGTCACAACCTCCACCAGCACCCACTCCACCTCCTCCGAAACCACACCACCAACCACCACCGTCACCAGCACCCCCACGCCAACCTCCACCCTCACCCCCACCACCACCACACCCTCCACCACCTCCTGCGTCCCGGAAGTGTGCTCCTGGAGCGAGTGGTTTGACGTCGACTTCCCCTCCTCGGGGCCCGGCCAGGGAGACTTCGAAACCTACCAGCACATCAGGGCCGCCGGACAGAAAGTCTGTCGGCACCCAAAAGACATCCAGTGCCAGGCGGAGGACTACCCCGAAGTTTCCATCGAGCGCGTCGGGCAGGTCGTGCAGTGCGACGTCAACTTTGGACTGGTGTGCAAGAACGAAGACCAGCTCGGCAAATTCAAGATGTGCCTGAACTACAGGATCCGCGTCCTCTGCTGCAGCCCAAACCCGCTCTGCTCTACCACCACCATCATCCCCACCACCAGCCCCACCACCACCAGCAGCCCATGGACAACCACCTCCACACCATCATCCACCTCAGTCACAACCTCCACCAGCACCCACTCCACCTCCTCCGAAACCACACCACCAACCACCACCGTCACCAGCACCCCCACGCCAACCTCCACCCTCACCCCCACCACCACCACACCCTCCACCACCTCCTGCGTCCCGGAAGTGTGCTCCTGGAGCGAGTGGTTTGACGTCGACTTCCCCTCCTCGGGGCCCGGCCAGGGAGACTTCGAAACCTACCAGCACATCAGGGCCGCCGGACAGAAAGTCTGTCGGCACCCAAAAGACATCCAGTGCCAGGCGGAGGACTACCCCGAAGTTTCCATCGAGCGCGTCGGGCAGGTCGTGCAGTGCGACGTCAACTTTGGACTGGTGTGCAAGAACGAAGACCAGCTCGGCAAATTCAAGATGTGCCTGAACTACAGGATCCGCGTCCTCTGCTGCAGCCCAAACCCGCTCTGCTCTACCACCACCATCATCCCCACCACAGTCACCATCTCCCCACAAACACCGTGTTTCTGTAAAATTGGGAGTGCTATATATTCGCCTGGTGAGTTTACATTTTTTATGTATCTCTTTATCTCTTTCTATCTGACTATGTATTCATTTTTCATCATTTTTTTCGTAAGTTTTAATATATTCATGCTTTTTACATGGAAATATTGTATAGTCGTCTTTTTTTTAGAAATATTTTCTTTCTTTTTTTAATTCCTTTTCATCCCCTTTTAGGTGATGTGATTTACAACAGAACAGACAGTGATGGATGTCGTTTTTATGCTATCTGTAATCAATCATGTTCAGTTGAACGATTCACAGGATCATGTAGCTTTACTACTCCTGTCATAACTACTTCCCCCCAAACCTCTACGTCAGTTCCTGTGGCTCCCCCTACTGGTTGTTATTCTAGTACTCACCCTCCCTTAAAGGTATGTAATTACTGGGTTCTTTTAACATTTTTCAATTCAAATCAGTACTATGTTGACAACAAAAAGAGACAGTTTTCATTCTTTAAAACTTTTATGTCAGGATTGCCAAAATAAACATTGTTAGTGATGGACAACACACATTCCCATTTCTGTGTAATGATTTAAAATTTTTATGTGCCTTCTTGATAGAATTTTTTGCATACTGAGAAAGGAAGCAGCAATAATCTTTTCCAAATAACATATATGTTATTCATAAATGAGATACATGTGTGCATACTTTTTTTTTTCCCCCTAGTGGTCTGCACTGATGGTGAGGTAAAGTATAGGTAGCCAGAGCAAAGGGCGTTTATTCCCTTTACCTAAAACCTATCCCAAAATCCTCATCTCAGGAGAGTTCCTCATGCAGAAGCAATAGCTGGAACTACCACTCCTTTTCAGTATAAGCCACCTTTTTAATTGCCTAGAATACTGTCAACCTTGTACTGTCAGTGCAGATTTGCATTGTAGCCTCTGTTCCAGATCTGGGAAGTAACAGTTTTGGGTTGTCCATATCATGGTCAGAAGTATGAACCCCTGTAGTCAACATTACAAATCATGAATACCACAAATTCAAGAGCAGGAACATATATTCCTTTCTAATACTACCATCACTGGAAACATTATATACCATTAGATTAAAAATATGGATAAAGTTCATACCTGTTTGCAAATTCCTGTGACAGCAATTTTTGTTCATTTTGCAGCCTGGCCAAAGAATGAAATTATCCAACTGCACAGAACTCCTCTGTGAGGGAGACAACAAAGAAAAAGTAATTCCAACACAATGCTCACCAGTAAAGGAAATCACCTGTGCTAACAGATATCCACCAATACTGGTACCTGATGAAAATGGCTGCTGTTACCACTATGAATGTCAATGTAAGCATCAGTAAATTAAAGAATTGCATTTTTGGAAAAAAGCAAAACTTTGCACAGAATACAAGGGGATTTTTTTCCTCTGGATTGCTCTAGAAATTGTGATACATTCGGTTAAGTTTCTAAATTCTTTCTTCTACATTAATTTTAATATTAATCTCCTAAATATTTTCTCTCCATCAGGTGTGTGCAGCGGATGGGGTGATCCTCATTATATTACTTTTGATGGAATCTACTACACTTTCCTTCAAAACTGCACTTATGTCCTAGTGAAACAGATTGTACCTAAATATGACAACTTCCGTGTTTACATTGACAATTATTACTGTGATTCAGAAGATGGACTTTCCTGTCCTAAATCGATTATTATTTTCTACAAATCTACAAATGTGACGTTGACCCGTGAACTAATGAATGGTGTGATGAAGAATGTGGTAAAATATACACTTTTTTATTTCTCTGTTTTTCTTAAAAAGAAATAAGGTTCATAGGTCTTACTGATTCTCATTTGAAATATAGTCTGTTAGAATATCATATCCCAGAGATGACTAGGATAGAGGCAGCACTAGGAGAAAAATATTACACCTATTTCTAGGAATCAAATGTCAGAAACATCAGAAACAGCACTGTACAAATATGAATATATTATGTTCATGCATATGTATATATAAATAACAGTAGGAAGCAGACTAATACAGCTGACAGAGAGAAGATAGAAAGAATATTTGCGCTGTTGCTTGAAGATTAATCTTTCATGAAAACTAGTATATTGTGTATTCACTTATGTGAGTAAACACGTTACAAAAAAACACAGCAACAGATGATAAGCATGCTTCTTTTCTGATGGTGAAGACTGGTATGTATCCCATACTGGTTGGCTGACTAGGGATTCCCTCCTTTGTATGGGGAACCTCAGGCATCAAACAGAGCCATGGCTTCACTCCCTCTCTGATTGCCTGCTGGGAAGGGAGGTACAGCTAAGAAAAGGGGTGAATGGGGGTGTCCCTTTGCCCTTATAATGCTAAATCAGTGTTGATGGCTGGTGAAAATCAGAAGTCAGTTATGCTGCCACTGTTACACTGGGGAGTTAATTAGTTGGTCAGAGAACTCAAATAGGTGGGAGGATACATTTGTCAACCTGCATTCTGCCCCTCAGAGCCACACCAAGCTCTATTCACTCCAGTCAGAAAGCCACATGGAAAAGGTCCAGTGATTCCCTATGAGAGAAAATAGGAACTGGCAGTTTTAACTCCTACTTCATCTCAATTCAATGAGAAGAAAGTTGCAGAATAATTCCCGACAGAAAGTTATTAAGCAAATATGCCACCTTCATTAGGTCATGTAAGATGGACTGCAAATGGAAGAGCTTAGATTAAAGAATAAATATGACAGCTAAGGAAAAATAGCACCAGGCACATTCAAACTTCATCTTGAATTGAGAGGACTCTTCCAATGCTAGGCAATATGCAGCGTTGGGACTATGTGATTTTGTAGCAATTTCAAAGTTATTACATAACAATGGTGGAAACATTTTTGCAGTTAAAAGAAAACTATCATCCCTTTCTATGTGGAAAAGTTTACATTAAACAAAATGATATTATCAATAACATACTTAGGTTTAGAATGATGTGCATTAGCACACAGTCTGCCCAAACTTGGCATATAGAGGCCACTTCATTATTGCTCTTATTTTATTATTCTTATTTTATTATTCTGTCACACTGGAACAACATAGCCACACAAGCTGAAAATGAATGTAGCATATGTTGTTATTGCAATGAAAGCTGTCATTGAATATGATGTACAGCAGTAAGTTATGCATAATTATGAAGATTAGTACATTATTTAAAACAATTAGGCCAAAGCAGCTCTTATTCTGAAATTTGTTTTTTTTTTAACCCTACATTCAGATTTACTTCAATAAGAAGATCGTCCAACCAGGCTTCAAGAAAGATGGCATTTCTATTTCAATGCTTGGCATCAATATGATTGTTGAAATACCAGAGATTGGTGCAACCATCACCTTTAGTGGGCTGATTTTCTCAGTGAAGCTCCCCTTCAGCAAATTTGGCAACAACACTGAAGGACAGTGTGGTAAGATAGATGCACTACTGATTCTTTCTCCACCCTCCCATGGTTATTCTCACCCACTCTGTTTATGCAGGGTCACCATAGACAGAAATGTTTCAAATAGCAGTAAAGTGGAATTGAGAACACTTTTGGTCTTAAACTTCTTATTTTAAGATCCATAGCTCAATATTATGACAATCTGCTTTTTTGATTTTGGGGTTGGGGGGGGGTTGGTCTTTTTTTTTTTTTTGCCCCAAACAAAATTACAATTCATAGAAATGTAGAGAAAGCATTTCCTGTGAAGCAGGGCACCTGATAGATACATTTCTTGTGCAAATCAGTTCTAAATTTGGTATGTATTGTGCACCTCAGATGTGGCTTATGCAACTTACCCTGCTCCTCTCTGATGCCTTCCAGGAACATGTTCAAATAGCAAATCTGATGAATGCCGCTTGCCAAGTGGTAAGATTATTTCCTCCTGTCCCCAAATGGCTCATCACTGGCACGTTGGTAACGACACATCATGCAGTGGAGTACCACCACCACCAATTATAACCACACCTCCACCGTTGCCTCAGTGTAAAACTCCGCTTTGCAAGCTTATCAAGAGCAAGTAAGATAAAAACTGAATGAATTTGCTCTTCCCTAGCTAGACAAAGCTTTCTCAGTACCTTATGAAATGATTAAGAACTATAGCCCTATCACATAATCATATCTGAAAATATCAGCTTAATGACAGGATACAGGTAGTAAAAGGCCTTTGCAAAAGAAATTGCTCTTCTTTAAGGAGCTCAGTCCCAAAGATACCTGAGCAAGGAGAGGAGAAGTCAGCAAATCAAGGAGACAACAAGAATCAGAATTCATACTTTCTGGGTTTCAGTCACACGGATTTATGTTATCTTTCTCCCTCCCTGCTTTCCAGGCTATTTCCACTCACTCTTAGCTTAGTATAATTACTAACTTGGATAACTTAAGTAAAGACTGAACTTTAAGTTTGAACTGGACCTTTAGTATAAACAGTAAAGAGCCTGGTAACCAACCAGGCTAACAGAACAGATAAAAACATCTCAGCCAGAAGCGTCTTCAGTATTTGTGCATTTTGTATAAAACATACAGCTCCAAAAGCACCAGCACTAACAAAGGCCTGTTTCCTACATACCTATTTCCTACACCTGTATGAACTATGACCAAAGCTTGTTCTTCAGCTAGGTCATTTATAAAAGCCTCTCCCACATGCTTGCAGTAGTGTCTTATAACTTCTGAGCTATTAGATGTTTCCACCTCTTGGGCACTTCTAGCATTCCTTTTTCCTCTACCTACTGCAATTGCCTGCCTCAAGAAACTTGTGGTGTCAAACAGATGAAGAGTTGTGTACACGTACACAAACATTATGACCATTAGCCTCTTTAGAAAAATAGGCTCAGAACAGTCCTGAGGGCTTCAAATTTCCTTACCTTTCCTTCCCTGAACCTATCTCCCAGACTAGTGGCCATTCTTAGAGTTAATTCTGTTTCCTGTAACGTGTTCCTTCTTGAAAGAGAGAACAATGTGCCTTTAACTAGGAAGGTGCTGTCTGACAAGATATGATTTTAGGTTAATGTGAAAGGGTTTTTGTTTCCTTTCTGTCTCAAGAGTTTTTGAACCATGCCATGATGTGATACCACCAGAACCATTTTTCAAAGGCTGTGTTTTTGATGGATGTCGCGTACCCAATGCCTCCATACAGTGTTCCAGTTTGGAGATGTATGCTACAGAGTGTGCTGCTAGAGGTATCTGCATTGACTGGAGAGGAAAGACCAACTCTACATGCCGTAAGTACTGCAGAACTCAAAAATGTATGTGTAAAGCAGTATTAACTAAGGTTTTATTCAGTAAACACACCTGGCATCTAATGCTTGACTATGGTATTTTACCTACAAAAATATACACAGGCGTCTTTACCAACAGAAGCCCCAGATGACAAAGGAAAAGCCAGAAACACCTAGGAACATTTGCTACAAAAAAGTATCTGATACCAATTTTTCATCTATTTCCTTCTTTTCTCTTATAGCATACAACTGTCCAGCAAACACAGTATACAAGGCATGTGGGCCCATTAATCCTGCTACCTGTGAGCCAAGGTATGAAAAGACCAAAAAACTTACAACTGCTTCTCTTTTTCTCTATTTACCCACTCACTATCCTTAGAAAATGGAGTTACTAAAAACTTTCGTAGTGAAACATATCTCATTGTATGAATTTGTATAAGTTATTCAAGTTTTAAATATCTCATTGATCAGCTCTATGAATCTGCACTGCCTGTTGTACTACAAAAAATGTAAATTCTTTGTCTCCCTGGTATCTGACATTGTGACCTTCAACACATGCTGCCCTTTCTCCTGCTTTACAGCAAAAACATTGTACTCAAATGTATGCATTCCTCCCACTCTAGCTCTGTTGAGCACAGCGGCTATGGTGTAACCGAAGGATGTTTCTGTCCTGAAGGACAGACTTTAATCAGTGAAGACAGCAACATCTGTGTCTCTGACTGTTGTAAGTACTCTGTATTTAGTTTGGGGAATAAATAGAAATCTGGACTGGGAGTCAATGGAGTTCCACTGCCATTTTCACATGGTCAGATCATAGGCAAATCAATTTAGTTTATTTAAGCTCTTTTAGTCTCCCCATCTAAAAATTGAATAATGATCTGTACTCCCTTCTTCCCACCTTCCTTATTTATGTCAGACATGGCAAGATGGAGAAATTCTGTCCTTCATTTCTGAAAGATTACTTTGCATATTCAATTTCTTGTTAAGATTTATCTTCACAGTATCTCTATCTGAAACTGAACCTGCACAGATTTACCCCATTATATTAGTTTTCAGTAATGTAAATCTCTCTTCTTTTGCTTTTTCAGCTTGTAGGGAACCAAATGGAATATCCAGAAGGGTGAGTATGACAATCAGTGTGGTATATCAAGTACAGACAGGGGAAGCAAGAGGACATTTGGTGCTTCACAAGAACAAAATTTTGCTTAGGTTGAGGAGATTTTAGGTTTTTTTCCAAATGTTTGTTCCCCTTAAGTCTTAAAAATAATTGTGAGTTTCATAGCTGAAATCCCATGTTACTTCCCGAGACATTATTAAAAGGTAAGTGATGGGATAGTCCTTCAATAACCATCACCTCATATTAAAAAAAAAAAAAAAGAGAGAGAGAGAAACAGAGGGACAGAGTGAGAAAAGAACAGATGATAGTAGTGGAAACTTGGCATATCTGCTTCTTTTATTTCCATAAATTGGACCAACTAAAGTTACTAGAGACAAATCAACAGATGAGTAATAAGAGTTTATCTGTTGCTGAAAATGCTGACAAGTTGCATTCTTAGGTTCTCAATTGCACAAAAATTATACAAACTTCTCTCTGTAATCTAATGTGCAAATAAAGTATGTGATATGATAACTTCATATATAAAAATACATGCAAAGCTCAGTCACTTCTCCTTTACACCCTTTCTATCTCTCACACTAACTCCATAAATAAACAAACATTGATAGATATATGGACATGTTTAGAACGTTTTGTGACCTCCAGGATCTTTTCCTAAAATAGTTTCAGTCTAAGGGTTTCTTATAAAATCTAGAAATATTAGAAATATGAAAATGCTGATGTAATCAGGTATCACTATATCCATGAATAAGTAAACTATTAAAAAAAAGACTGATTTTATTTTGAATGTATACATTCTTTTTTTTTTCCTTTTTTTTTTTACAGCCAGGAGAAAAATGGATGAAGGATTGCCAGGAATGTGTCTGTGACAAACGTACTCTTAAAGTGCACTGTACAAGACCCAAATGTCCTCCTCTGACAAAACCAGAATATTGCGATGAACCAGGTTATATGCCTGTTCAGGTACAGATATCAGAAGATCCATGCTGTACCAGGACTGAGTGCTGTAAGTACAATTTGAGTTCTTTATCATGATGAATATACTATATGCATTACGGGGAACTTAAGCAGTAATTTCTCAGGTTTTTATACCTGTAATTGATCTCATAAAGCTTTTTTTCCCAATCCCACTTCCCAGAGCCTTCTTGTAGAATATCTACTAGATTCCTGAATAGATCAGCTTTAAAGACAATAGATTTTACACAGTTAGACATAGAAAAGTAACTAAACATTTCCTGTCATTTAATTTTTGGAAGGAAAAAAGAAAACCTTTAACCAAAATGATAACCAAAAACTATTCAAAACATCTTTTTTCCATGAAAAAAATCCCTTTATCAAAAGTTTATTTTCTCTTTAAAAAAATCTCTTAAACTTTTAAAAATTTCTTAAGATTGTTCCCAAACCTCTGAGAGTCATCAGATTTTCCAATGGATTCAAATTTGTCTTTGGAAATACTTCTTTCCAGCAATCACTACTCTACTCTTCTCAGGCAATACTTTTTTTTCCAAAGGTTAGAGAAAAGCTCATTCACTTCAAAAATGGCTTGGCAAATATATTGAGATAGTCATTAGACTAGCCTGTCTGCATTTTCATCTGCACCACTATATCTGCCCCAAGGGGAAACTTCCGAAGTTCTTGTTTGTGCAAAACAAAATCAGCTTCATTTAAAATTTCTTATTTCATTATTTTCTGTCTTCTGTTACATTACACAGACTGCAACATTAGCCAGTGCTCTGAGGTCACACACAAATGCTCAGTGGGACAGGAAACAGTTATAACAACACAACCTGGAAAATGCTGTCCTTCTGTTACATGCAGTAAGTAATGTGCACCTTCTTCATGTGTTACTCTGAGCTATATTTTAGAAAGTTGTTGAACGTAAAAGCCATATAGGAGAAAGATACAAATTAGCTGTGTTATCATATCTGGACAACAAACCAGCAGATTCTTCACATATTTTTGCTTCTTAAAATTTATACATACGCATCACTATCTTTTTTCCTTTCTTACAAAACCAACAGGACCTAGTTGTGCTGTCAACGATACCTTCTATTCAGTAAGTACATAATAATTCACTATAAAAATATACCTGCACATAATTTAAGAATGCCACATTTCTGAGACTCCTATCATACACCACATTCTGCATGATAAAACATTATTAATCATTTAATCAAGGCCAGCATATGAACACCCTTCCTCTAGGCAAAAGTATCATCTGTTCTCCTTTCTATAGTAACAGATTTTCCCTTCTAAAATGCAAAGCACTGATGTTACCAACAACAGAAACTCTGGTTAAATAAAACAATCAAAATTGTATTTAAGGATAGTTTAGCCCATACATAACTCAGTTTGGTATTGCCTATGACGTACGTACACTAAGTAACTTGCTTTTATTGATTAATAATGACTTTTTTTCTGACTTCCCCTAGCCCGGAGCTGTCATCCCATCAGGTCCCTGTGAAAAATGCACCTGCTCTAATTCCTCAAGCCCTCATCGCGCCTTTGTCAAGTGCGAGCCTGTTATCTGTGACACATACTGCCCAGCGGTGAGTGCTATTTTGCAGTCAATAATTCCTGCCCTGCTCAGTTCAAATAACTGTCAGAGTTAAAGTCAGTGTCCTGACTCAATGCCATTCCCTCCATATTTCTTTCCAAACAGGGTTACAAGTATACAAAGAAACCTGGGCAGTGCTGCGGCACGTGCAAGGCAGTGGCTTGTACAGTGACCTTGGGAGACAACACGACACATGTGCTCAAAGTAACTACCCCTGTTATGTTTTGGTGAACTCTGCTAGCTTCTTTGCTCCTTCCTCTCCTTGTCATATTTATTTGCTCTGTCTTTTCTCATGTTAGACTGCAATGCTCATTGAGATAAGGAATGGACTGTCTCACACAGCTCAAAGAGTACCTTGAGCTACAAGACTCTGGTTTTAACTGAGACTTCTGGAAGCAATTGTGATACTGAATAATGGCTTTCAGAAATCAAAATAGAAAATATACAGGTGAAAGCAATGGGCCCTTATTTGCTTTCAGCTCTGAAAATATAGCACCCATTTTGTTCAAAGTATAATTTTGTTTTTATGTATCTGGAGGCAGTTTTCTGCTCCAAACAGCCAACCACAAGTTGGCTGAGAGCTTTAAGACAGAACAGGTTAATAAAGCCAGCAGAAATTCTGCCATGTATCTGAGTGGGATTAGAACAGACCCATAAATTCTGATGACAAAAGGGTAGGTTGAAACCATCAAATGTAAGTTCCTCTTTCCAAATTAGCCCACATACTTATCCCATTCCTACAAAAAGCATGAGAGTATCCAGATAAAAACACAGCCTCTTCACTTGGTTAATGAAAAAGACTTAAGGCAGTATGATAATACGACAAGTAACTATCAGCTGAATTCAAGGACATTATATAGCATACCACCACCACAACAGCAAGCAATGATAAAACACTGCATTTTGGGGTTTTGTCTTTATATAAGATTTCTATTCACTTTTATTTAACTATTTTCAGGTTGGAGAAGTCTGGAACCCGCCTGGCAATAACTGTACATTTTACACATGCGAAAATTATGATGATCAGTTCATTCCAGTCATTGTACAGAAAAGCTGTCCTTCCATTAATCCAGACGATTGTGACCCTGTAAGTACTCTTCTACCAATTCTCATGTTTGTTTGAAAAGGTCGCAGTGGCTTGGCACAGGTGATAACAGGATCACCGTGTCCAAGAAAAATACCTAATAGTAGCATTATATGGGATGTCACTCAGATTATATCCAATCTTCAGATTATATCCTTCACTTCAGAAAGGCAAATCAAGATTAAAATGGGTGGCGTATCCGTCATCACTGATGCAAAAAGAGAGAGTAAGCGCTAGAGAAATGGGTACAGCATAATGTTTTGGATTTCCAAAAGTGTCAGGTAACCTAGGAGCAAGAATCTTATTGGAAAATACTTGGATTTTTATTCCTAAATTATTGAAGATTACAAATTATTTTTTAGAATTCATCTATTGAGAACAAAGGGAAAGAAAATAAACTACTGCAATTACCAGAATAATTCCATTTAATACAGCTCAGGGTAGATCAGAACCAGCCCCTCATGTGTAGGAAGTCAGTATTTCATTAGCTGTGTTACCTTTGCTGCCATAATCCTTCATCTGCACTGACTTTGGTCCCTCAAAACATCCTACATCTGCTACAAGCTTTATTTCTAAAAGTTAACTACTAAAGTCTGATGATAAGAAGGCAATTCCAGTTCCTCTTAATGTCAGATTGTGAAGAAGTCTTATTAATACTGTACTGAAGTAGCAGTTAAGTGCCCTTACTATTTAACCCTGCTTGAAACCATCCATCTCAATACAAAGAAATTTCTGGCACCAGAGAAACTTAGGAAGCAGGGAAAGTCTCTGCTTTAGTATGCAGATATGAAATCTGAGTTATCTTATTCTATTTTCACACTCAAGGATGACATCCGGATATCAGATGATGGCTGCTGCAGAGTGTGCCCAACACAACCACTGAAAAGTAAGTCATGATAATTTTAAGTAAAAGCACAACATATGCCTTATTAAGCATATTAGTCCAACTTGCATAGTAGATGCACAGACAAAGCAGGTGAACAGACTGACTGAGTTTGGGAGCAGTGCCTCACACTGGGGTGAGAAAAGAAAACAGGGTAGCAAGGAAGAGAACACTTCCAGCACCCAGTTCAAGTCTTCTGAAAACATGTACAAGATGAACTTTCCCACCCCCTGCCATTAAATGTTAGCCTTTTTGTGGCTATTCGCCAACCTTTTGTAGATGCATTCTCTTTCAGGAAAAAGTGAAACCAGACCTGGGAGATGGGTTGCCACAGCAACTCTTTGTTTCTGCATTGTGCACTGGTGCTGCATAAGGAAAGGGAACTTTATTCTTTCATTGCTAGCACAAGCAGGAAGAGTCATCATTTGGCCATAAGCAATTAAGAGAACTGCACTGTTACCTAATTTCCTGTTTCAGCTCCATTCATCTCAGTTTTCTATTAAGAACTGCCTATCATGTACAGATGTCTACTTATATGCTCACATATTTTAACGTATTATCTCTTGGTCTGCTGATACTTCAGGCTGTAAGAAGCACAATACCACTACTGTCATCCACTACAATGGGTGTGTATCTCCTGCGCCTGTTGAGCTAACATACTGTGAAGGCAGCTGTGATGCTTACTCACGGTAAGTGGTATAAAAGATCACCACTCACTCTGTTTGTATACAGCTGAACCTACGGTCTCCTATCTTCTGCTCATTACACTGGTTACAGAAAGCAAATTGCAAGTGCCTTATTAATATGTCCAACATCCACTCAGCCACCAACTATTCATGTCTGCTGTGCCAACACGAACTTTTAACAGACGTGATATCACATGAGGTTAATTACCAGAAGACTAACGAGGTTTTAACAGATAGGTCAATGCCACAGCGAACAGATCCAAGTTATTGACCCATGTAAAAGTGAGGTTATCTGTCTCATTCTAATCTCTGTTTTTGGACTGGCTTGATACGTGATCTGCAGTTATTCATTTACGTTTTCTGTGCCCTAATGCAGAGCTAGAAACGTAGAGCTGGACTCATCCATTTTTACAATGAGTAGCAACTTATGTTTCAGCACAATACTGTAAGAAGAGTAATATCAAGCAATTGCCCCACATGTAAACGCACAACTTTTGGGTTTGCCTAGTAAAGGATGAGAGTGGCAGTGGTATTTCTCACAACATCATTTCTGAATCTTTCTCTTGTGTTGCAATCAGATATTCTCCAGAGGCGAACATGATGGAACATAAATGCACGTGCTGTCAGGATATCAAGACCAGCCAAAGAACGGTGACCCTGACATGCAGTGATGGAACCCACCTTAATTACTTATATACCTATGTGGAGAAATGCAGCTGTGTGAACACTGAGTGCATTCTTCAAAGCATTGAAAGCCCTACCAACAGTGCCAAAGAGCCAGTGAAGGGGGCACAGGCCTTGCCAGAGAAAGGGAAGGTCTAAAATGAGAACTAGCAAGAAGCCAAACAAGGAAAAGTTGAACATAGACTAAAATAAACCTTTCAAAAAATACAAAAGTGTCAAAAGCAGCTAAAATTTTGGATGAACAGATGATATCTTCTGCATACAAGCTCAATATGCCTGGCTCCTATATTATTTCAGTTGTCATTCCAGTGTATCTCTCATTGCTTTGAATATCGCTTCTTTTACACCTTGAGAGGTACAGCATAAGGTCCTTTTGACATTTGCTATTTGTTTGTTTGCAGTCTTTTCTGGCTTGAAGCTTTCCCTTGCAGGCATGATATAGACTACGTAGGCATAAAATAAACATTGCTGTGTAAGAAATTAAGTTTTGCAGCCATTGTATTCTGTACCCACTTGAAAATAACTAATCTTGCCACTGACATAGACTGACTATTTTTAAAACGTTTTCATTCCATTTCATTGAGATAGATCAAAAGCTAAAGTCCAGAAAACAAACAAAGAAAACTGTACCTCTCAACTTCTTTCTTTTTCTTTTTGCTTTAAGGAAAACTTTGACTGTATAGAAAGCTGTACCTTCTCAGAACTGTTAAATTCAATATTATCAGCAATTTATGATGGGCATTTTCCCTATATGCTCTCAAAAGAAAGAAAGAAAGAAAGAAAAAGAAAGAAAGAAAGAAAGATCCTATCATGAAAGGCTGCTGCACACTACTCTGTTTACATAATACCATCAGCATAGTAACTGTATGAAAATTTGGAATTTTTTTTGTTTGTGGTTAACTGTTTACAGAAGTATATATATATATATTTTTTGCCAACGGGGGCATATGAAGGATTTTTGTAAACAAAAGTAATAATAATAATAATATTATTATATTTAAATTCTTTCCTAGGAGGCTGAGATTTGTTTTAAAAAAAGTTGTACCATTGCTATTTATTTTATTTTTGGAAAATTGATTTATTGGGCCATTTCCTTCAGAATTTATGTAAACCCATTTCTTAGTCTTAGTGATGTTATCTGGGTGTGGTATATTTTCTTCTTCCATTTTGTTTTGGAATATTGTTTATTTTGTTCCTTATAAAAAAGGTAATGATGATTAATAAATTTTAAGCATTTTACAGCATTTGTATCCTCTGTCTTTTCACTGAATCCCTTATAACAGAGTTGCTGGCCCTATAAAATATTTGCTTCCCACTCTACTGTAGCCATTTCTCAATAGCTCCAGCTAAAAAGCCAATCTAGACTGCGGTACCTAACTGTCTACAGAGCTTTAATGCCCTTCAGTGCTTTGAATGAAAGGCACTCAAAAGCAAATACCAAAAGTGTTCTAAGCACATCGCTTCAGGTGCTATTGACAAGGAGGTCTTCAGTAAACAAGCATATTTTTGAGTCTGTACTTATTCTGTTAACTGGAAGTTCTTTATTTGACTGACAGAAACTATCCAAAGTACTCCAAAACAGCCACTCTGACATTTGAATGCCTACTGAAACATACATAAATCTCAAACAAACCTCCAATTGCACTGTTGTAAATTTACAAGTTTTGTCAAGTTATCACGCAGCTTTAGCTACATTATACTTTCAACCAGCCACTACACACCTGCCTGTAAACTGTAAAATGACAAGTAGCATTTCATGCAATTTACAAATGACTGCTCTAGGGAACAGAAGAGGAACAGAAAAAATTAATGACAAGCTTTTCCTAGCCTACAATTTGGACAACCCAGTAGAGGGAGTAATAGGGTAAGCATGAAGGTTTCTGCAGGTATCCGCCTTAGGCCGCTTTTCTCACCCATTTTTCTTTACAGAACTATGTCACCCCATACACTCCTCCACTCAGAGGTGAGCACCAAGTTCTCCTCATGGACCTCTGGTAACCTCATACTTTCTGCTTGAAAAAAATTTGCCCTACCTCCCAGCTTCCTGTTGGTCAAATTGCTACTTCACTCTCCATTTTCTGGCTTTTCACAACACCTTTTTGTCCCTGTTCTTAGGCTCTTTGCTTCCCAGTGAGGAGCCAGGTGGTTTATTGCTCACTTCCCTCTTTCCCACCTAACCCACCAGTATTCCCAGTACTGCACTGATACTGAACTAACCAGCTTGGAGAACAACAGTTTCTCTGGCCTTTCAGGCAGGCTGAGGTATGATTCTGCTCCTGCTCATACTGCAGGAGGGAAGAGAGAATATCTATTAATAGAAAATAAATTACTATGCACTTCTTTGATCCACAACAAATCCTTGTCCACAGGTAACCCACTGACATAACTTATTCTCCACATGCTGCTTCAAGGTCATCTGTTCTTTTCCCAAGCAAAGTTATGTGTTTCAATATCTCAGCAGTTCCCCTCCTTCATGAAAAAACTCTGTGTGTATTAAGTCTGTGCCAGCAGATGCTTGAGGCATCTTACTGAAATAGGAAAGACTAACATGTGGAGGAAGAAGTCAATGAGAGAGACAGACTCTCTGACACATGGGAAGATGGGGAAGTGATCATGACTTTTGGGGTGGGGGGGGGAACCAACCTAGGGTTATGTGACATGGGAGAAGGAAGGAGGGAAGGAAAGAAAGAAAGAGAAGAGGAGGGGACGGACCTTGTTCCTGGCATGGGGAAGCAAGAAATCCCCATAAGCCGGGGCAAGGAGTGGAGGCACACAGAGCCTGTGGTGGAGGACTGCGCACTGGAGACCCTGCTTTGGAGCAACCAGGCACCATATCACACACACAGCCCCAGTGCTGGCAAGGAGCAAATGGGAACCCTTAGGTGAGGAGGATGAGAATAGGAGACACAACATGCTTCAGGTGTGGGAGAGCAAGTGGAAGGCTTTGCAGGTACTCCCTGAGGAGCAGGAAACATGACAAGAAGTAGATGAAAAATAAAGAGCACTGGTGGGTGGCACAGATCGGCCTTCCAGGTTTCCCTAGTTATTCTCCTTTACATAGGAACTAACTTTGCTGTGAGTTATTGCTGACACAAATTGGGAATTAGCTCCAAAGGAAATCAATGACTCTTTTCTAAAAACTGTGATGAATGAGATCAGTTGCATCTCTCGTAAATAAAGTGTAATCACTGTTTTTCTAAACCATGGATAAGGATTAAAGACAATAAAAAACAAAGTAGAAAAAAGGGATTGGCTTGGTATCCCTTTATTGACAGAGGTCAGAATATTGTGCAGGTCACACTTTACTATGTCAGTGTAGATAATTTAATGTATTTTACACCACCGTTAACACTAGAGGGCTCTAGGCTCACAGTTTACAAGCATATCTGAAAAGGTTTATTTCAAAAGGGTTTCTTTCACAGCACTCAAATGTGAGCCACGTTATAACTGCTGTTTTAGTTTCAAACCACTGGCATAAATTTTGCCCTTGATTAACTCTTGAATCTAAAGACATCCAGTCTAAATAACATAGGGAGACTTGTTTATACATCCACAACAGAAACTGACATGTCCCATAAGCTATCAGTATCACTTTTTTTTCCCCCAATCTGATCATCTTTGGAACACAAATAAATCACAGTAGAGAAACCATTCACTTAGCCCACAACTTATTCCAGCTGTACAATAAGCATTCAAAGGTTTTGGGTCTAATTTCAATACTGGCTGTAAAGGTCCTTCGTTGGGAATTCATGCGCTTTCTACCCACTCAGGACTTTTGTTACATAGCCTACTGTATGACCAGTATTTTTTTTTTCCTTTTCTACACAGCATTATAAAACTCAGCAGTGTAAACCACTGATCACTAAGAATCAATTTTCAGCTCCTCCTTGAAACTATGAGTAACATCTAAAATATAATCTGGGTCATTACCCAAAATTCTGAGCCTATTCAGATTTCCTACACAGGAGTCCACTTTGGGTAATTTGTTTTACTCTTAAAGCATATGACAGCGAGCTTTTAAGCCGTATCACGTTCTGAAAACAGCTATGATCAGAGTTAGGATTGTTCATGGCACAATTTGGCCATGATTTTATTTTAGTCTACCTCATGTGATTTTAATTGACTCAGGGAGCAGGGGTGATTAAAAAACAAATTGATAATGGCAGCCACACTTAATAATAGCAAATCCCAACTGGAAGCAGGCAGTACTCATCCTCTCCAGTAGATTTTGTTGTAACACTGCAAAAGAGTAGTAGCTCTGTTGCCACTAGGTGAATTAAAACGGAGTTTTTGCAGATACAATAGAAGAGAACAGGAGAGTAGTTCTATTATGACATTAAAAATGAAGTAGTAAAACAATTCCAAATGCGCAAGAAAAGTGCATTTTTGCAAATGCAGTAATCATGATTGCGAGACTTCTTTTTGCTTTTTACTCTGCTTCAAAAAATACCTTATTGACTCTCAGATTTATTTTGCATTTATTATAACTCTCATTTATAACTACAGTTTAGTCATAAGCAAACAGCAAATGTTTGCACTGCTATAGTGACTGTTGTTACTATTATTCACATGGTTAAGATCTTTAAAAAAGGGAACTTACCCTGTCAGCTTACTCGTCTTCTGCTGTTACAGACTATATGCAAATAAAAACTCACTTTTGCCCTTCCCTCCCGCTATAAAAAAGCAAAGGCAGTCCAGGCAGTTAAAAACGGAGCCACTAAACAACAATGCATTTGTCATGAGCAAATTATAGACATCTCATATGCTAAGTCTCACAAAATGCCCTGGTCAACTAAATGAGTCTAGCAGCCAATCCTAACACTACTGCTTCACTACTTGCACCAGTTTAACTGTGAGGATCTCCCAATGGTTGTTTTTGATTTTCACTGATTTCAAAAAAAAAAAAGCCAGAAATATTTGAGGTGAGCCTGATTCCAAAGCAAACTTGGAACTGCTCTAAATTTTGGAGGATATCAGATGTGGACAGTGAAGCTATTCCCTGTCTCAGCAAGCAGCCAGTAGAAACCTCTCAGTTCCACCTTGCTGAACTTCAGGGAGGTTTTGGGCCAACTAGCCTTCCAATTCCCATGAGCTGGTGGTCACTGCTCAGTATTCTGGAGAGTGAGATTACTTCACCTGATGCAATTTTTCACTTCCCCAGTTGTTAATGCTTTTGGGCTTCAGGAATTCATTGTAATGGAAATCCAGGTGCATTATTCATCTATCTGTTATTTTACAGAAAATTAACTTTATAATTGCATAGAATTTGTGTTGACTGAAGATCTGTGTGACAGTACTGAATACCTTGTGGTAAGGTGCAGTTACATAGCATTCATAGTAGAGAAGTTGTCACAGTCTACTTGATCTGACCAAAACACGTAAAAAACCTTTGTCTTTAGTAAGGAAGCTTTGAGATCAATGTAATCTATCCCCCAACAATGCCAGACAGGATTTTAATGACTAATATTCCAACACATGGTCTTTCAATGTCAGCTGAGATTGCATCAGAGGTCATTTTTCAACATAAACCATTCTCAGATTTCTAATGTACTTCTGGCTTTTTTAAAAGCAAAGAAAAAAGTTTGTCAGTCACTGTAAATTTATATTCTATTATGCTATATTTATATATACATATACACACACATATACATATATATTTGTGTGTGTGTGTGTGTGTGTGCATGCACGTACGCATATACATATATAGAGAGAGACCAGCAAAGGGGTATATAGAATTAATTATTCTACAATTCTACCTCCCATTTATCTTTTACCTTCAGTCTGAAATGGTTAGTTGGGCAGCAGCAACCAGAAGCTTCATATAGCAGCATGCTAATTCAGAGCAATTGCTAACCAGAAGTAACAGAAAAGCTAAATGTAAAAGTGGAGTAGCTCCGATGAAATCATCACTGTCA